TCCACCTCTCGAGCCCTGCTGGTCCCCGAGCTCCGCGCTGCAGTCTCCTCTCAGGCTGTCCTGTCCCTGCGAGCCCTGGTCTCCGCCCCGGCGGTTCCACTGCGGTCTCCGTGTCCGCGCTACCCCCGACCCGGGCCCCGAATCCCAGCCGCCGCACGCCTCTCCCGTCCCGCTTGGTCCCCGCAGAGAAGGGACAGCCCGAGCCACCACGCCACAACCTTAGCCTCCGTCTCTCTCGGCGGGAGAACGGGGAGGGGCGTCGTCGCTGGAATCCCTGACTCCCGGTCGTCTGTCCCCGCTGGGCGGGCACCTTTTGTCGTGGTGCGGAGAGACAGCAAACCCCCTGCCTCACCCGCTGCTCTTTCCTTCTCCTCTCTAAAGCGATCCCCTGGCGGGCGACAGGGCTCGGTGCCGAAAGACACTTGCTTCTCATCTAAGCCCCCTAAGGTCTTGAGTTCGATCCCCGGGTCCCCACGTGGTGGAAAGGAGAAAAGGGACTGTTGAAAACTGTTCTCTGACCTCCACGAGTACTCCGCGGTCTCCTCCAGCATTCCCACACATACAAACAATAAATATTGAAATTAAGAAGGGGGAAAAAAAATACCCAGACAACTACGAGCTCAAGGTAATCAGGCAGTTGAAGGCTGTGGGTTCTGCCCTCTCCTGAAATAGACTGACAGATCCGGCTTGATTACGACTGAGGGGAAGGGGAGGGACCAAATCGCTCTCCTGACCTATTTGGGCGGTGAAGACTTCATTGAGTAGGGGGCTGTGGCAAGCACCGCACTAGGTGTTTTTCAAGTACCACACCTCTTCCTGACAGGTTATTTACACGAATCCGGTTTTTTGTTTTGTTTTGTTTTGTTGGTTTTTCGAGACAGGGTTTCTCTGTATTGCTTTGGAGGCTGTCCTGGTACTTGCTCTGGAGACCAGGCTGGCCTCGAACTCACAGAGATCCACCTGCCTCTGCCTCCCGAGTGCTGGGATTAAAGGAGTGCGCCACCAACGCCCGGTTACGAATCCGGTTTTTACTAATAAAGCGCCATGGGATTCCCTATGCTGCTGCTCTATGGGAGAAACCCGTTTTCTTGACTTACTACAGTCTTGGCGTCTCAACTGCAGTGATAAAACGCCAGGACCAAAAGCAACTTGGGTAGGAGAGGATTTATTCCATCTGACAGCTTAGAGCGCATTACTGAGGGAAGCCAGGGCAGAAAAAGCCATGGAGGAATGCGGCTTACTGGCTTGTGCCTCACGCCTTGCTCAGCATGCTTTTTTATACAACTCAGGGCCACTTGCTCAGTGCTGTCAGTGAGTCAGCAACCATAAGTCAAGAGAAGGCCCTGTAAGCTTGCCCACAGGTCAGTCTGCTGGGGGCTTTTTCTCAATTGAGGTTCTATCTTCCAAAACGACTGTAGCTTGTGTCAAGCTCACATAAAACCAGCCAGCACAGCTACTGCTCCTTAAGATCCTTCTTATGACCATTTTTTCCCCCTAGACTTGTTTTTTTGACCCTCCTTACTTCATTCAGGCATGTTGCTGTCAAATAAATGTTGCTGGGATCCCAAGCTGTGGTATTTTATTCTCAGACATCCATCCTTTCCTGTCTTAGGGACAATTCTATTCTTTTTAGACATGGTCTCATTCAGGATAGCCTGAAACTATATAGTCTAGCCTGGCCTCTAACTCTTGCTCCATCCAGCTACATCCATCCTCTTGAGTACTGGGATCACAGACAGGAGACATGGTCACATCTTAACCCCATTTTGCCTCTATGTATATATATGCACCACATGCCTTCCTGGTGCCCACGGAGGTCAGAGGAGGGAGTTAGATCTCCTGGAACTGGAGTTACAAACCGTTGGCGGCTGCTATCTTGACCCTAAGAATTGAACTCAGGACCTCTGCAAGAGTAGCCTGTGCTCTTAAAACAGTGAGCCTCCTCACCAGACCCTCAATGTTTTCTCCCTTCCGTCTGCTAGTTGGTAGGATGGCAGGGGGAGGGAGAGCACTGATAGAGGTTTCATTCCTTGGGAATTCTTGAATACCTTTTCTGGTACCCAACATCTCACTAGCACCGCCAGTCTTCTATTCCCAAGCCTACTCCACTGTGGATGGAGCTCTTTTGGAGGGCCAGCCTTCATTTTTCTTTTCTTTTTTGAGTTAAGGTCTTCTGTAGCTCAGACTGGTTTTAAACAAGGTTTAACTGATCATGACTTTGAACTCCTGGCCTTCCTGTCCTCAAAGTGCTGGGATTACAGATGTGCACCACATCTGGTTCTTCATTAGCTTTTGCATATCACATTTCATATGTTTAACACAGGGGTTTACAATCTGTATGCTATTGACATTTTGTACAGAAAAACATTTGTTATGGGTGAGTGTCACATACATTTTAAGCTTTTCAGCAGAACTTTTGGCTGCCCCTGAAATATGCCAGTAGCACTTTTCCCTTAGTTGTGACAACCAAAAATGTCTTTAAACATTGCAATATGTCCCCTGGGGAGCAAAATCTCCTTTTGCAATACCTTGGCTTTGCAAATAAACTCATGTGGATTTCCAAGAAAATCTTTGGCTCAAGGCACAAAGTATTTGATTTTGGAATTTTTTAAGGGCATAATTTGTTAAACTCTTAAAAAAATGTACAATCTACATTAAGATTCACAACCCACGCCTAGTTTATCCCTGCTTTACTGTGACAGACTTGCCACAGCACAGCCCATTGGGTTTCTTACTAAAAAGAGTTCATTATCTACCTCTCCTGTACCTCTCCTCTTAAGCATTCAGAGCTCTAGGATTGACAGTCCCAGAAATGTTTCTCCTGTGGGTCCTGTCAATCAGTAAAATCCTCACTGACACTAGTTTTGAGGCCTTCTTCCTTTTCCTGCTTTTCCCCAAGGTAAAGGGCAAAGATTGAGGAGGTCTCCTCTGGCTTCATCTAAAGCAACTGCCAAGCCTAGACCTCCGTCTGGTTTTCTTTTCAGAGATGGGACTTGCAAATTTGAAGATTGCAGAGATTCAGAAGGTGATCTACTAGTGGATTGGAAAACAGCAAAGGTCACACATCTATCTGCTCAATAAAAGCCCAGTCAGATGTTCAGAACTTGTCATGAAGTGTCCAGAGAAAAACTGGATGAAGCCACAAGAAGCTTCAGTCAACTGAAAACTTTGAAACCATAGGCCATTCAGCTTATTTGTTCATAAATGAGTGACAATCACGAATACCAATGGCCACAGAAGCACCCAGAAGTGTACATGGGAGACAATTTGTCAGGCTGGTCTGTGTCTCTTTCCATTTGCTGAGATGTTGTCAGTCTTTTAAAATGTATACCCAGTGGTTAAGAGCACTCACTGCTCTTCCAAAGGACCTGAGCTCAGTTGTTTCCAGAACCCACACCAGGTGGCTCATGACCACCTGTATGTAACTGGCTTCCACGGCCACCAGCAGTCACACTCACATACCCACACAGATACATAATTAAGAATAAAATCCTAAAAAAACAACACCCCCAACATACACACACACACAATACTACCAAGTTCTCTTGTCCTCAAAGCTTTACTTCCAAACTCAGGCTTCTAACAGAGGGTTGATGGCACAAAAAATAATAATTGGGGATAAAACAAACTCCTTTCTTCATTTAAGCACTCTAATTCACAAAAGCAAAATACTTCACCAAATAGACATCTTAAAAATAAGATGCAGGAGGTCTTCAATTCCCTTGTTTCTGGGGGGGGGGGGTTACTGGACAGACAGGACAGTAAAGAGCACATGTGGAGGTTATGAAGTAACCAGTGTGTGCCAGAATCTTTGAGCAGTATGCTGCATCCATGCCTAAGCGTATGTTACCTGCAAGTGTCCGTGCCCCATGCATATGCAGTGCCAGTAGAGGGTGTTGGATCGCCAGGAACTAGAGTTACAGATAATTGCAGGAATCGAACCTGAGTCCTCTGAAAGAGCAGCCAGTGCTGTTAACCATGAAGTTATTTCTCTAGGCCTACTTTAAGCAGCATTTTTAATACATCAGGCTAACAAAATTTTAACATAAGGCATTACATAGTTTACAAGCAAGTAAACTATAAGAAAATTACCCCCAATGGCTAGCCTACTAATAGTTGAGAAAGAACAGGCAACTGTTCTTATTCTAGTTACTAATTTAGAGATAAATATCTACCTGAATCCTCCTCCCACCCCCTTTGGCTGGATACAGTCAGATTCTAGGTATTTAGATCTTTTGGTCCCCACAGAAGGGCAGCACAGTGGTTTTGGTGACCTGGATGCATGTTTTGGTTTATTTATTTATTTTTCAAAATTGTAACTAACTTCACAGTCCTCATCTCAAAGTGGTGGTTCTGAGGTGTATGTCAAGGTAGAGTGGTGGGGGAGGGACAAGGTACTTGTTAGCAGGGTCTCAGTGTAATGGTCACTTAAGCATGCCTGCTAGTCCTATGGCAGGTAACGCCTGCTGCCCAGATACCTCTTAACTTTGAATTCCTAGGTCACAGAAACAAGTGGTATTCTCAGGACACCGATCAGTTTTAAGAATATTTTATTTATTTTTTGAGATTACATAGTCATTATTGCTGATCTAATACAATCACTTAGACATAAAATTTCCAAGAGCTTCTCAGAACTGGTGATCCTTAGAGGTCTTGTTCCTTTCAGTAAGATGACAGGAAGAACTAGATGATTATTTATATAGATCTGTATATATGTATATATATATATATATATATATAGTTTAGACTTGTCAATATATAATTTGCTGGTGTTACCTATTTTCTTTCCATAATTTTCCTTTATTAAAAAAGCTTAATGCAATAATGCATTCTGATTTTTTTTTAAAACATGACAAAGTTAATTCTGAGGAAACCACAGGAGCAGCAATTTCAGATCTGTTCAGAGAAAAGCCAAGCAGCAAAAAAAAAGCTTTGCAGGAGTGTGTGGCCATGGGAGCTGTGCTCTCATGGGAGGGGAACATGAGGAGTGAGAATGGCAGAGGGGAGGTGGCCTAGAGGAATTTTGTTTAACAAGAAAAAGGAAACAATGTTTCCACCAAGAAAGCAAGAAGACCTTGAAGTAGTACACATTTCATTGCAGATAAGCGGTATGTGTCCCCATGGACCAGGGCCACATACCTAGAGATAATCAGCCTTCTTCTTGCCTCCTGGTAGCTAGGATGCATCTAAGAGTTGGAATACAAGATTTGCTCTGATTTCAAAGTTAGATGGAACAATGATTTGGTTCTAACAGGACAGAACCTAGGCAGAAGTCCTGGGCTACCTTCTCGCTTTATTCCACATTCCCCACAAGCCCCCTGTACTGGGGATTTGACAGTACCCAGAGCTGGGTACACCCTAGCTAATCAAGTGTCCTGCCACTGACTTATATCCCTACTTCTACTTCGGGTTGTTTTTTTAATGGTTGATGACAGAGCAGTCTCCATAGAATAGGGAACAGATACCATCTGCAACTCACAGTCAAATACCTCACCACGGCCAGACACAGTGCGACCTACCTTAGAAACCATGTGGTTCCCTTCCTATTTGCAACGGGTCTCTTCACTATGGTTTTACAGAGTACTCTGTAAGTACCAGCCATAGGAAGCTCTGCAGAGAGCAAGGCTTTGCTGAAAATCAGCAGGTTATGACTTGGGGCCCATGAATGTGAGTCCAGCTTTCTGCCTAATGGACTCTGCCCTAGACATAAGACAAGGTACAGATACCTGAATCTTTTGCTAAAGAGATCCAATTAAGAGCCAGGCAGGCATGGTAGTACATGCCTCAGAAGACCACGGCAGGAGGACTGCCATGAGTTTGAGGCCAGCGAGGGTTACAGAGTGAGACTATCTCAAAACAACAACAAACCCCAACAACAACAACAACAACAACACAGATGATAAAAATCATCTGTGGGCCAGATCATAAAAATCAGAGTGAGGCAAACAGAATTGAATATCTTTGTGAACTCTTCAGCCTCTATGGTCTTCCTTATAAGAGAATATAGCCACAGATGATGCCCTGTGAAGAATCCATTTTCTGGGCTGAGCCTATATATACCATCTAATAAGGCAAATAGCCACCTACCCCAGTTCTGTTTCCCTATCTTCAAAAATAAGGCCATTTCCAGACTAGCTTCCAGGGCACACACAAAGACCAAGAGGAGACCGTGGGAGCAGGGGAGAAGATCTAGGTAAAGGTTTAGTGATTCTGTGTGTCTTCTGTTTGGATGACCTTGGTCATGTACCTGAAGCAGAAGAATATAAGAAACACATGAGAAACAAACATGAGACTTTTAAATAGGATGGGCCATGAGAGGAACTCATTTAACTCAAGATTCCTGGGGTTACTCCAGGTTTTAACTTTTGAAAACAATTGATCCCAATGGAAACCTTGAAACCAGTCAGTCCGTCTCCAAAGGAAATCTAACTCTTGGGTGGAATGAGAAATTTCACACTGTTTATATTACTAGCTCTTTTATAATGCTGGAGTTACTTAAGAAACTCTCTGAAACAGAATCCTTAAACAGAAGGGGCCAGATCATAAAGATACAGCAGCAGCAGCAGCAGCAAAGAAAGATGAGATCTCAGATTGCAGATCTCACTTTTTACCAAGGGCAACAGCCACAGGGACGGATGTCTGATGAGGTTCAAACTCGTTCCCACCTCCTTCCCTAGTACCCAGTGACTGAGCCTAGGGCCTTACACATGCCAGGCAAGTGCTTCATCACTGAGCTATACCCCCATCCCTCACACTACTTTTCATCATCTGAATACAGACGACAGAGTCATCTGTCTTCTGCAGCCAGGCCATGACATCTTTCCTGGAAAACAAACAGACTTGCTTCTTTAGGATGTCAAACAGGATCCCACTCCAAAGTCTCAAGCTTCCAAATCTCTAGCAAACACCTTTGCCAACTCAGTTCCAGAAGTTTCAGAAAGCACTATCCACATGAAGCTCTCCTTTTCTGAGACAGTGCCAGTCTAGAGGGGGCTTCCTAGAAAACGGTCCAGTTAAATGACAAGGAAGCAAAACTATGGGTCCCAGTGGAGCTGGTCCCCCTACTTCCTGAACAGAGTTTAGTGGGGTTAGAAAGCAAAACAAATGCCTGGCCAACACCAGAGGTATTAAGATCATGGAGGCACACCCCTCTTGGAACCAGGAAGCATTAAAATGAACATAATATTCAAGGAACAGAAAGGAGTCCTGGGTAAGAAAAGAGATCCCAGTAGGCACAGACACAGGCACAGCTGAGTTCTTGGTGTAGCTTACAAGACCTTATCAACACTCCTACCTCAGGAGCCTTTTTATAAAGAAGGCAGTGACAGGAACTATCAAGACCGAGAATTCAGGCCCTGTTAAGTCAGTGGCTTCCAAAAAGGCCTCATCTGGGAAAGGACCAAAGCTTTGAGAAAGGCAGCTGCTGAAAATATATTCCAAAAAACCCTAAGTAACAAGGAGTCTGGCATCCCTGAACTAACTCCTGAGCCTGGAAAGAAAAATGGCTGTCACCGAGGGTTCCATCAATGGGCAACGATGCGAATGGTGCACTAGGAATGACTGCCCATTTCTTTTCTTCCTCAGCCTGTCCTCTGCGGCTCTCAAGGCCCCAGGAGTAGTAACCACACTCTGGGCCAAGGCTACAGGCACAGGATGCTAGATTTTAATAAATAAATAACCTAACACATAGGATGAGCACGGCGGGCAGCTCTGATTGGAGAAGCAGCTTGCTGGGTTCCTCCTTGGATAGTAGTGGAGAAAAGGCTTGGTTCTATTCTTTAAAACGTCTTCTGGCTTGCATTACAGGAACTTAATACCTGGAGGGAAAAAGAAAGACGAAACTGATGCTATCTGCTGGCGGGGCCGGAACATAAGAAGCCTGCCCACAGGTGTAACAGGGCGACAAGGGCTTTTCTAGTGTATATGGTGAGGATAGATAACTGGGGCTCTCTTTCTTATCAGTGAAAATGGCCATGGGCCAGCAAGAAGGCTCAGTGGATAGAAACACCAGCCACCAAGCCTCCACCTCCCCAAGACTCACATGGTGGAAGGAGAACTTACTCCCGTAGGTTAACTCTGACCTCCATATGTGCAATGTGTCCAAACGCATCCCCTCCACATACATGTGAACACACACTCACAACGTCAGTAAGTAAAAATGCCATTTTAAAAGGCTAGTGTGTGCGTAGGGGCAGACAACGGCAATGTTTAAAGAAGACCTGGAGGAAAAGTGCCATTTTTCTGAGTTCATATAAGGTATGTGGTAGGAGATGCAAGGATCAGCTGTACTGCAAAGCTCTTCACTACCCAGCCTTCTCTGATTTCTGGGGAGCCCAAGGCACCTGTAGTAATTAGGCTTGAAGGGCCCGTTCTTGTTGAGTCCCAGATACTTGGCCTGTTCGTCTGTCAGCTCTGTCAGGTGGGCATCAAAGGTGGGCAGGTGTAGGCTTGCCACGTACTCATCTGCAAAGACCACAGAAGTCATGGGGTAAACATTCATGTCTCCTGTATGGCTGTTCTCCTCAAGCTAGGCCTTTAAAAGTTGGAAGACAGGTTCTAGTTCCCGGAGATGATTGGGAAATGCTTGACTTTTGCTCATAGCCTCAAATCTAAGGAGTGACTGCCCTCAGCTTCCAGTCCAGTGACTTTAAAAGCCAAATATTTCTTCCAGTAACTCTTTCTTCCCTGAAGCTTTTCCCTCAGGAAAGAAATGAGAGGAATAATGGGAATAGAATGGGCTTTAAAAATGGGAAGCTTCACCTTTAGCTTTGCCTTGATGTCTACATTATAGTATGAAAATACTAGAAATACTACATTATACATTCTAGAAAAATTAACATCCATGTGAACTGGAAAAAAGTAAAAAACAAAACAAAACAAAAAACCACCCTAGCACTGTGTCCTTTGCCTTAGTAATTTTACATCCTTTGAATCGCTGTATTTCCAACTTCATTATATATCCAAAGAGAATATAAACTGCTCTATGCATTTCATACCCATTTCATAGCTTTGTTTTGTTTTGTTTGAGACAGTGTTTCCATCTGTGTAGTTCTGGTTATCCTGGAACCCACTATATACACTAGACCAGGTCAGCCTCGAATTCAGTGATCAACCTGCCTCTGCCTCCCTTCCGAGTGCTGGGATTAAAGACCTGGGCCACCACCTCAGACTCATCCAAACTGTACTAAAGGGAAATACATCAACTTGTAACAGTGGATGGAACGAAGCCAGAAGCTGACTTATTCCCTAAGTTTATGTCTCCTAGGTGCTTAGGACAGGGTTTTTTAAATTTTAAGACAGCTTAATATTTCTATTATACCAATCACCCCCATAATTATCTCTCTCTCTCTCTCTCTCTCTCTCTCTCTCTCTCTCTCTCTTCTTGAGACAGGGTTTCTTTGTAACACCTTTCACTGTTCTGGAACTCACTCTGTGGACCAGGCTGGCCTCCAACTCACAGAGATCCACCTGCCTCTGCCTCCCAAGTGTTGGGATTAAAGGTGTGTGCCACCACCTCCTGGCCATAATTAACTCTTAACAGGAACCTGCATCCCTTAAAAGAAGGGGCTATTTATCATCTTAGAACTGGAATAATCCAGATATCACAAGGCCGGAGATATTCTCTTTTGGGGGGAGTATTTTCCTTCCCCTTTGAGATTTTTGCATATATGATACTTTAAAAGAGAAAATCTTTAAAATTCAATTGGTAGGCCAGACATATGCTGTAATCCCAGATAGGAAACAGGAGTGAGTTCAATGCCAGCCTTGGCTACATTGTGAGACCCTGTCTCAAAACATACAAAGTGATGCAATGCAATAGGTATAATAAAATAATTCTCAGGTAGGTATTCTAAACCACAGCAAAATGCAAGAACTCCCTAGAAAAACCTATGTGGAGAATTACACAAGTCACCTTGGAACAGAATCACTTAGACTCCTAGTTCCTGTTTTATAAGATAAAGATGTTTTCTTCCCCACACCCCCCACAGGAAGTTACTGTCTCCAAGCTCCCTTGCACGGCTTTGGTGAGAATGGGGAAGGAGGAGCAGCTTACCCATTTTCTTGGGCAGCAGGTACACATCTTGCTTATAGCGACCCTCAGGAGCATTGTAAAGTTCTATCAAGGCGAGAGCCTAGAAAAGCAGACACGTATATGCTGGTGCGCTTTGCAAAGCCTGGAAACCGGGCTTGTCTAAGGACCCTCTCCAGCCCACTGCTGTTGCACTGCAGAGCTTACCTGAGTGGTAGCAGTGATTGAGAGCACAAAGGTAGGCACTGTGGAGCAGCTTAGGTTCAACAGACGGCCCTAGTGATCAAAAGCCAAGGCAAAGGGAATTAGGGTGGTTGCTGGCCTTTGAAGAGTGAAGGAAAGATGACGGCCAGTTCCCAGTTCTTTCCTAACTGAGGCTGTTACACACAGCAGGCACTCAACAAAAAACAATTAATTGATAGCCTTTTAATTCTTCTTCTTTTTCTTTTTCTTTTTCTTTTTTTTTTTTTTTTTTTTTTGAGATGATATTTCTTTGTGTAGCCTTGGCTGTTCTAGAACTTGCTATGTTAACCAGGCTGGCCTCAAACTCACAGAGATCACCGGCCTCTGCCTCTCAAGCTCTGGGACTAAAGGTGTGCACCACTACCGCCCGGCCTAAAATTTAGTTTTTAAGTGATATAACGAAGCAAAAATTATACATATTTATAGGGTACCATGTAAAGTTTCAATGCAAGAGTACACATATATCTATTTCCTCAAACATTTATCATTTCTTTAAATTCTCTCTTCCAGCATTTTTAAATGTCCAGTACATAATTGTTACCTATAGTTACAGTTTGGTGATAGTAGGCCAAAACTACTTACACCCCTAGTTACCTGAAACTCAATATCCACCTCTTCCCAACCCCACCACCTCATAATTCCAAGCTACTGGTAACCATTGTTTGTTTTTTTGTTTTTTGTTTTTTTGAGATAGGCTTGCTTGTAACTCTCAATTCGCCTGCCTTAGCCTTCTGAATGTTGGGATAACAGAAGTGTGCTAAACTGCCTGGCCTACAAAAGTTATTCTTTTGTTATTCTTCTCACAACTTCTATGAGAATAGGATACAAAGGCTAATGAGAAAAAACTTGAACACAAGGCTCATAAAACTACTGAATAGAGCTATTCTGATTAACTTAGGAATTCTCTTGGTTTATATTTATTTGCTATTATAAATAATGCTAGATTTAACCTTTCTATTTTCTTCTTCTGGAGACAGTCTTATTATGTAGCCTAAGCTGGCCTAAACTTACTTGTAAACAAGACTGATCTGCAGTCTCCGTCTCCTAAGTGCTAGGATTACAGGCGTGCACCAACACTTCTTGCCCCATAACCAGTATTTTCAGATTATGCAGGGTTGAGGTTATGCATTACTTGTCTGTCCATGTCTGGCTGATTTCACATTAACAAATGACAGGAGTTTATTTTATGGTAGAATAGAATACATTGTGTGTCTGTACCACATTTCCTTTAGTCAGTCCTACTTCTTGGCTGATGTGACTAGCCTGAAATGAACAAGGGAGTATAGGTATTTGACATACTGATTTTGTTTTCTTTAGACATAACAATAGGATTACTGGCATACATAGTTGTTCTGTTGTTAAGTTGTTGAGAAGCTACTACTGTTTTTCATAATTTGTTATCTTTTATCTCTTTGATAATGGTAATTGCTACTGGAGGGAGGCAAGACCTCATTGTGGCTTTATTTTCCATTTCCCTGATGATTAGTGATCCTGAACATTTCCCTCTTTGTCTGTTGGCCATTTGTATGTCTTCTTTGGAATTAACTGATATTCAAATGAAAGCACTAAAAATTTGATAAAAGTTTTTCCTGAACTATTTCCAGGACTATATAAAAAGGATAAAATGCAGTTATTTGACACTGAGGATTGTATAAGTTTCCCATTCTCTATAGTAAATATCCTCCTTCTGAGGGTTGGCATTCCTTAGACTGACTGTCTTAGGAAAGGAGACAGTCAAAGCGAGCAGCAGTCTCTCCAGGCTGAGGGGAGACAACCATGGATTTAGGAAGCTACGATGATTTTTGTGCTTATCAGGTTTGTTTCTTTGACCCAAAGGCAGGTAGCCTTGAATTCTGAGTAGACAACGAAGCCAGTAAAAGATCTAAAACCTGCCCCATGCTGTCCTTTCTTAGGAAGGACAGCCTGACTACTGTTTTTGCTCAGCTACATAGCCCAAAACACCTTTAGTGCCTGTTTTTATCACCAAAATTGCTAAGGGGGGCCTCCCAGGGCAGTTTAGAAATACTGCCAGACAGGGAGCTGACGTCAAGGCTATTAATAAACCCTTAACAACCTGCTCTTCTCTTAGCCATACACACGCCTTCCTAGACATGTCCTAAAGCATTTAAAGGGTGTTAATGTCACCTGAGGGCAAAATGTCAGAGTAAGGACAGAAAGTTGGCCTCTGTGTCCTTACATAAGGCGATGAAATTGTTTACATTTTCATACTCAGTTTCTTTAATGTAAGATAGAAAACCAAAACCCCTTGCTATTTGGGGCCTTCCCTTAAAAGAGAAAGCTTCATGAAGAACATGAAGCATTCCCAGCACCCAGGATCTCTGGGCTGTGAGGATAGAGCTTTCACTACAGGAAATGTGGTCAGAAAATGACATAAAGGCTACAAGGGATGAGAGGCAAGACTAAGCGTGCAGACTAGTGAGAAGGCTCAGCAGGGAAAGGTACCTGCTGCCTGCCAACCTGACACCAGAGTTTGATACTCGAGACCTACAGGGAGGAGAGAACTGACTTCTGTCAGCTGTCCTCTGACTCAACAGAAGAAAGTGTGAACATGAACAACGCCCCCTCCCAAAAAAGGACTGGGATATTGCTCAGCAGGGGAGCTCTTGAGGGCTTAGCATGTGTGCATGTGTGAGGACTTGAGTTCAACTCCTAGCACAGGGGGAAAAAAGAAACATGTGAGCTGGATGAAGCACGGTGTGGAACTATCCACCCAGCAACCAATTAACAGAATAAGCTGGGTACCTACTGCACATCTGGCTCAGTTCATCAGTTCAGAAGACACTAAAATAGAGACACTATCAGCAAAGGCATGACTTTCCCAAAGCTTACTGAAGAGAGTCTGAGTTACAGCCAGATTAAAACACCCCACAGATGACATTATCTCTCTGTGAGCATCACTCAAAGTGGAACTGATTCTATCTGCTAATTCCTTCCACAGTAATAGTCATTATCTGACTCAACCTGGAGAGTGACACGAGAGACAGGGTAATTGGTGAAAAGTAAGGAACCAAAATAGTTTCTTAATTGCTGAATGAAAAGACCTTTCACAATTAGAAGTAAAATCCATCGGTACAGTAGTTAAACTTGTGCTTAAGAGACGGAGTTGAAAGGAACAGGGAACACGAAGAGGGGGGAGCCAGGAACTGCAGCCTCTCCCGTCAGTGCAGTAGCTTTTTGTCAGCATCAGTCTTACCTCTGCCAGCAGTACTATCCTCTTGCCATCAGGCCATATCACATGGTCAACTTGGGACCTTACTCTCTCCCAGGTCAGTTCAGGTGTCCGCAGGCTCGCCTGGAACACATACAGGAAGAAGATCGTCAGCGCGGCAAGTCCCCGACACTGGAGACACAAAGATGTCGAAAGGAGCCATTTCAAATAGCAAGTCGAAAGAAGCAACCAACATGCCAGATGAATACCTGTCCTGGGGTGGTTAGGACTGTTCCATGTCAGGGAATTTAATCTTAGGCCCAGCCAGGGAGGGATCACTCAGGATGTCATTCCACAACATATACTGTACGCCCACTCTGCTGAGCACAGTAAAAGGTGCTATGGGAAATACAAAAGAAACCAAAGGCATGGTTTCTGCCTTCAAAAAGCTCGTATTTTAGTTGGGGACACAATACAATACATACGTGAGAAGAAACACAAAGCAACATGCAAACAAGTGCAGATTAATATGGTGCAAAATGAACGAGTGGGTGCTGAAGACATGGAAAACAACACAAGATCAAGGCCAAGGGGGATTAGCCGGAGAAGGCTGAATGTCCTAATTGCATGCTGGGGAGCAAGATTCTGCCCTCATGTCCCAACGTTCCGGTTGAACCTTCTCAAAAGGCTGGTCTATCCTAGAGTTACAGAAGCTCTGTGTCCTAAGTGCGAGTGTGAGGCAGCTTTGGAGGGGCACTAGTGGCAGAGTAAAGCACCAGTGGCTCACCCTCTCTCCACTTCTGTATATTGTATATTCAGAGAACAAAAGAAAAGATGGCAAGTTTATTATCAGCAGCAATCAAATGACAGTCACAGGGTGTGCAGACTTAGGACAACTACTTCCTTCTTCAATAAGCAATGGCTGAAACAGAAAGGGAGTCCACATTCCAAACTACCCCATCACTTCATCTGGTAAAACTGAAAAGTTCTGCCCAGTACTAGTCCTTGGACAAAGAAAAACATTTTTAGTTACATAGTAATTCTAGGCACTGTAGCAAAGGACAAACACTGCGAGAACAATGTGAACAATTTTTGCACAGAGACAGTTACTTTTTCATTTTAAACCTTCAAATTCTCTCTAGACATACAATGGGGTGCTCAATTAATGCCTAGAAAATCATGGTCCCCTCTCTAAGGAAACGTCAATCTAATAGTACAAAAGGACAGATAATTCTTTTTTCAGTTTGTTTTTGACAATTTTTTAATTTAAATTGGAAACAATCCTATTTTATATATCAATCCCAGTTCCCTCTCCGTCCCATTCTCCCATGCCCCCCACCAACCCCCATTCCATCCTTTTTCTGCTCCATAGAAAGGGTGAGGCCTTCCATGGGGATCATCAAAGTCTGTCACATCCTTTGGGGCAGGGCCTAGGGCCTCCCCGGTGTGTCTAGGCTGAGAGGGTATCCCTCTATGGGGAATGGGCTCCCAATGTCCACTCATACACTAGGTATAAATGCCGTTCCATTATCAAGGGCCCCATAGACTGCCCAGGCCTCTTAGCTGACACCTACATTCAGGAGGCCTGGTTCAGTCCTATGCTGGTTTCACAGCTGCCAGTCTGGGGTCCATGACTCCCCCTTGTTCAGGTCAGCTGTTTCTGTGGGTTTCTCCAGCCTGGTCTTAACCCCTTTGCTCATCACTCCTCCCTTTTTGCAACTGGATTCCAGGAGTTCACTTCAGTGCTTAGTGTGGGTATCTGCTTCTGCTTCCATCAGCTACTAGATTAAGGCTCTAGGATGGTATATAAGGTAGTCACCAATCTCACTATAGGGGAAGGGCATTTAAGGTAGCCTCTCCATTATTGTTTAGATTGTTAGTTGCGGTCATCCTTATAGATCTCTGGACATTTCCCTAGTGCCAGATTTCTCTTTAAACCTACAATGGCTCCCTCTACTACGGTATCTCTTTTCTTGCTCTCCTCTATTCTTCCCCTGACTCAGTCTTCCTGGTGGTCCCTCCTGTCTTCCTCCTCTTCTCCCCTTGTCTTTCTCCTAACCCCACCCCCTCCCAGGAGATCCTGAAGGACAGACAATTCTATTTCAGTACATTCAGAGCTGCATTTATCCATGGTCACACCATCATTTCTTTATTAGGTACTTTGGAAATGTAAAAAGTGAGACATAGATTTCATACATCAATTCAATCATTTTAAAGAGCAATTTGGCAACAACTACCAAATGTTATAGAGACCTAATTTTGTCAATTAATTTAATTTTCAGACTCCTAAAACAAATAATTGTTCAAGTCAAGAATTAAAGTGCCTAAGAAAGTTTAGTCTAAGACAGGTGTAGTGGTACATGCCCTTAATTTCAGCACTTGGGAGGGGAAGGCAGGAGAATTAAGAATTCAAGATCAGCCTGGGCTATAATAAAACTATGTCTCAATCAACAAAAGCAAAAACAAAGAAAAACGGTCATTCTAGAATTATTTATAATAGCAAATAAAAACAAACCAACAAGAGCATAACTAACTAAGTAAATCAGCTCCAGTGGGTTTATGTAACTTTTTTTTTTTTTAATATTTATTATGTATACAGTCTTCTGCCTGCATGCCAGCAGAGGGCACCAGATCTCATTACAGATGGCTGTGAGCCACCATGTGGTTGCTGGGAATTGAACTCAGGACCTCTGGAAGAACAGTCAGTGCTTTTAACCGCTGAGCCATCTCTCCAGCCCTATGTAACACTTTTATATAAAAAAAAGAAAACAAGGAAGAAGAGGAAAAGGAAGATGAAACAGCAGGAATAGCAGTGACAGTGGGGGAGAGGGGGGATGGGGGAACTGGGAGGACTGGAGCGGGGGAGGCTAATGGTGCAATGTACTATATGAGAGAATGAGAACAATAATAATAATAATAATAATAATAATAATAATAATAATAATAACAATAATAGAGTTTTGCTATATAGCTTAGTGGTACTTTTCTGGCCCAGCATGTATAACACACTGGATTTGATCCCTAGCACCACATATTTAAAAATTATAAATAAATTACGTGAACAGAATTAAAAATAATTGAAGCAAGCAGACAACTGAAGAAGTTAAGGATATATATCAAATAAATCCTTTAGCCTTTGAAAACATCACAGAGAGGGATGTAACCACCTATGGCCAAGACATGGTAACACAAGCATTTTATGTTGAGATGAGATGTCACATCATCAGTCTTCCAGAGGAACAACCATCTTGGTGACTGGGAACAAAGAGCTGACAGGACACTGAGAGTCTACCATCATGTGAAATACTCATTGGGAAGAACATGGCAGAGTCAAGGAAAGGACAACTGTTTGTGAATGTTAAGGACATGGTCAGCGGTAAGAAGGGGCAGCACACTAACGCTCCAGAGTGGCTATGGTACAGCAAAAGGCCGTGACGGTCAGTTTAAAAGGAGGGTTAAAGAGAAGCTTGGTTAACTTGTGTCCTCACTTCCCCGGGAGGGTCAATGTCACACTATGACGATGTCTGTTTGGCAGTCACACTCCTGAGAGTGTTTCCTATCTACGATTGTCAATCAGCTGGGGCTGGGAGAGGAGATCAGTGCTAAAACGTAAGCTTTTGGTCTCACTCTGTGGTACCACCACTCCAAAAGGGAATTGGGGGGGGGCACCAAACTGGCTTTGCTGAGGATTTACACTCACTCACCACGCCACCAGGAAAAGAGTTGCTTATGCAGATACCATCTCCAGTTGCGAGCACATGCCTGCACACACTGACCTTCCATGATTCTGAACAACATATGGCAATCCCTTTCCCCCTCCCTCCGGAACACAGTTGTGGTTCCAGTTCTTTAAAACAGAATCAATAGCAAGGCTTAGGTAAAGTAACTCTTTGGTTGGAAAAAGCCTTTGAAATCATGTGAACACAATGTTTTACCGCTTCAACAGGCCTTCCATGTGAGACAGGGAATGTGTGAAAGAGAAAGTTGGCTAGCAAGTAGCCTATAGCAGGTTCTCTGGGATTCATAGAATTCCTATTTTTCAGGAAAAAAAAAGTGCAGCTTTCTAAATGGCTAACATTTTTCATGAGCTATTCTTTCCTAAAATATACAGCAATCAATATCTCAAAGTTAGGCAAACCCAAAAATTCCTACTCAAAAGAGGAAAAGAAAAACCTATGTAATATTTGGGAGAGGGGAGATGTTTGAAGGATCTTACTACACACATGGGCATGAGAGCCTGGAGCTCTCCTCCTCCTTCAACCCTCAAATACTAGGAATTACACGAAATTTTGATCACAAAGCTATCTGGCCAGCCATTAGGTGGATCTCTGAGTCTCCCAGAGTGAGAGCCTGCTCCCCAAACAAAACAATGTGACAACAAAATCTAGCTGGGTAAATATTGCATAGTAACACTGACTTGACTTATAGAGACTTTCTTCTCTACATTTTGGTTACAAAAGATTAATTATCTATCTTGTTGACTATTTACCAAATCGTTCTCCTATAGTAACACTAAGTTGGTTATAGAGACTCTCCTTTCTTTTCTCACGCTCTGCATTTAATTGATTCAGCACAGTCCACTGGTGACAGGGAATCTCGTCACCTCTACTGCTTACCCACTGAACCAAGCCACCACGTCACCATCTCAAAGAGCCTTCTGCTGTCCCTACACCTACTCAAACTCCAGAGGGTTTTCTTTATACAAGAGCCAGGCTGAGATTTAAAAGGTATATATCAGATATATTTTGTTATTCGTTTGTCCAAAACTGTCCAGGAGTTTCTTTCCATGAAGCTCCCACCTCACTCACTACACCTCCTTGAGCTGCCTCCTCTATCCTCAGCTCCTTTCTCGTGCGTTCTGTTACCGTCACCAGGCGTTATCTACCTATTTATCTTTGTGAATATGCTGGACCTGCACGGTGTGTGTGTGTGTGTGTGTGTGTGTGTGTAGGTCAGAAGATTGTGTACAGGAGCGGGTTCTTTACTATCATGTGGGCTCCAGGGATTCAGCTCAGGTCTCCAGGCTTGGCTGCAGCCTATACCAGCTGTTGGCCCCACCACAGCTTCCTGGGCTCTTTTACTTACCATTCTGGTTTTTATTTCCTTCCCTCTTTGCAATGGTGAGACTAAATCCAGGTCCTTGTGCATTCATTCCAGACAAGAGTTCTACCACTGAGCTATATATATCCCAGCTTGACTATTCTCTCTGAATATATAGTACTCAGATGTCTTGCTTTTTCTTTCATTTTTGCTCCCCCAATATTATATTCACAAAAGTACTTTTTTGACCATTTCAATTAAGTGTTCTCAATACCCTCATCTTGTTTTTTTTTCATTCAATATAACAGACAATAACTGTTGACTTATTTATTATCCATCTCCCACACAAGAATATAACTCCATGAGAGGAAAGATGTTATTCAATGCTTTTTCTTCATCCAATTAAAAGTTGGTACAGAGCAGGCCAAGTATTCAGTATATACTTCCTAAATAATGAATGAACATTCTGGTTCTAATTATTGATTGAGTTTGCTGTTTTCTTTGAGATAGAATCTTATTATGCAGTTCTGGCTGGCCTTGAACTCACAGCAATTCTGTCTTAGCTTTCTGAGGTGCTGGGATTACAACCATGAATTTTCTGTTACTTTAAATTTTGTTTTATATGTTATGTGACACTACCATCAAATAATAATTTTCAAAAGCCTTCTGAACAGCATCTTTTCTGGGCCATTAAACTTAGCATGTATGTTATGCCATGAAGAATTCAAAGACAAGAGAAAAATGGCTCTTGGCTCCTGATATGGCAAATATGAGGGTCTACCTAGCAATAATAGCAATGCCAAGCCTAGTTTCAACACACTATCTAGAGTAATCCTTTTTAAAGTAAAAGCCATCACATCAAAACTGAGTCAGATTAGAAACCCTACAACAGCTCCCTGCTTCTCTCAGACTATAACTGGTTCTGGGGGTGGGCTGTTAGGCCTAAGAGGTCTGATCTATTACCCACCTCTCAGATCTCACCTTCCATTGTGTGTGCCAAGCACACTGGCCTGCAGTCACCCCTCAAACAGAGGTTTGCTTCTGCTCCAGGACATGTGTACCAGCTGCTGCTGCTTAAAATGCTCCTTACCTGAAGATCCACAGGGCTGATCCCTTCAACCTCAGGCTTGCGAGCTGACACTACTATTTAAAGTAACAGCCTTCTACTCCATCTCCTCTGTCATGCACTACTTCTCCCTGCAATGGTTTTACTTTTAATCTTATGAATTTTACACACACACACACACATTTTAGTTTTTCTTCTCACTTAAACATAAGCTCTATGAGGATAGGAATTTGTTATGTTCACTGACTCCAAGCAACTAGAACTGCAGCTGGCATATAGCAGCCTTACAATAATATTTGTGATTGAAGGTAAATAGTCTTTTGACTTTTATTCTTAAGAATTACTCATGTCTGGCTTTGTCTTTTTTTTTTTTTTTTTTTTTTTTTTTCTTCTCTTTTTGGCTCTTTGAGACAGAGTTTCTCTGTGTGTAGCTTTGGCTGTCTTGGGAACTTCCTTTGTAGTCCAGGCTGGCCTCAAGATCACAGAGATCAGCCTGCCTCTGCCTCCCAAGTGCTGGGATTAAAGGTGTGCACCACTAGGCTGGAAAGATGGTTCAGAGGTTAAGAGTCTTGGGTGCTCTTCCGGAGGACCTGATTTCAATTCCCAGCCACATGGTGGCTCACAACCATCTATAACGAGGTCTGGTGCCTTCTTCTGGCCTGCAGACAAACATGCAGACAGAATACTGCATACATAATAAATAAATAAAAATCTTTAAGAGAAACTGACTCAAATACCTGAATTTTGCACTTAAATTTCATTTAGAATCAATTATATGACTTATCAGTGTACTTAATGCCTATGCTTCTTCCCAGCTTAAAGTTAAGAATAAATCCTCATGAAGGAGTCAAGGAGATGGATGGGAAAAAGCAGAAGCATTAAAGTTAGATGATCCCATTAGTTATGTAGAGCTTCCTGTGGTTTTAGAAGGAAAATTTTTCCTCCCTCCTCTATCAAGGTGCTCCTTCACTCATGGCACGTAAGTGAAATTTAAGAGGTCCCCCCCGCCCAAAGAACCAACTATCAACCTGACTAGTAGTTGTAAGCAAACTACAGTGACAAGACAGAGTAACGAAGCCATGGCACTCAGACCCCCAGACTAGAAACAGGCTTTGGTAAGTCATCTTGCTAGCAATTTCCTTCCTTCTTTCTGTTGCTGTGATTAAACCTAGAGCCTCATGTGTGTGAGGCAAACACTGTAATCCCCAGCCAGCTGTTTTTAATAACAAAAGAATAGAACGTAGGGCTAAAACAAGAAATCACATAAAATAAATATGATCCAGCAAGGCTCTCGGTGTTAGCTGGTCCTTACCTGGTAATGCTGAAGCTCAATCACAGCAGCCCTCAGTGGAGAGGAAAGCATGCTATGGTTGAGCCAGTTACCCAGAGAGAAAGGCAGATGTGCCATAAAATGCCACAAAACTTAAAGCCAGAGTCAAAGCCACTGAGAGATACTTTGGTAAGTCTGAAAAGAAATAAATAACACCTCTATTAACTATTGCCTGGACAACTTATTAGAGGTTTGGAGGAATATAATCAGATTAGAGAAACGCAGCAATAGACTTCCAAGGTTTTAGCGATGCATACTGTACACAGTGGCTCTGGATTGAAGGTGATACCTACAGACCCAATTAATAAAATTTAAGAAATATGTTAAGTGAAGACCTAGCGCAGGAAAGAGGGAGAGAAATGAAGAAACTGCAGCGTTTGGTAGACACAGTCATTCTAAGGCAAGTACTCATCCTAGCCCACAGATCTCTGTTTCCCAGACCAGCCTACCTACCTCATCTTTACGTAAAACTAAAGATCCTCAAAATACTGACTACCCTTCTGAGTCACACTGAGTTTATGCAGCTCCCGATTCTCAACATGGAAAGACAATGGTTCACAGTCTGAGTACGTGATCAAGCCTGGATGGAAGGAGACAGCCATTCGAAATGACTGAGATGAAAAGACCGATTTTGCTCCCAAGTGAAGGCCACAGGGCTGGGAGGTGAACAGATGTGGACTGTTCTACTGGGAGAGTCAGGGTTAGGGTAGGTAACAACCCTGCTTTTTCGTCTTCCAGTTCGTTACTTGGGAAGGAGAGAATGAATGAAAAATAAAAAAGTTCCAGTAATGATCTTACCACATCAATCTCAGTGTTGGAATGTCCCATGTTACAAACGATACAGCTATTCTTCATACGGTCCAAGTGCTCTCTGGTTACCACATTCTTGTTACCTTAAAATCAGAAGAGATGAATGAAAAGGAATGAAGTTAGACCCGTACCCCATATAATATAAACACACACACAAACAAAGTCAGCATATATAAATGTGTGTGTAAATATATATACACACACACACACACACACACACAATGAAATACAAAAATCAACTCTACATAGATCATATTCTTTTTTTTTTGCTTTTTGACAGGGTTTCTCTGTGTAGCTTTGGCTGTCCTGGAACTCACTCTATAGATCAGGCTGGCCTTGAACTCAGAGAGATCTGCCTGCCTCTGCCTCCTGAGTGCTGGGATTAAAGATGTGTGTCTCCACCGCCAGGCTCATAGATCATAGTCTTAAGAGCAAAACCTATAAAACTCTTAGTTGTTTAAACAAATTTTACAGGAACATAAAAGTGAACCCTTGTAACATCAGGTTGGGCAACAGTCTGCTCCTGTACAGCACTTTAAACATAAGCAACAGAAGAAAATAGAGCCCAGACTACATCAATACATAAACAAATCCTTGCTTTATAAATGACCCCACTGTTTAAAGACAGTTGTGTTTAAAGACAACAAACAAAATCTTTGTATATCGAACACCAAAATGGGATTCCCATCCAAACTGTATTTGGGACTCTTATAACTCAGTAATAAAGATAAGCAATCTAATTTAGAAATGAACAAAGGACTTGGAAGAGTATTTCTTCAGAGATATGCATGGCAGAAAAACACAGAACGGGAGAGCGTCACTAGTCATCAAAACCACACGTTACTTTATGTTCACTGGGATGACTGATAGCAACAGAAGTGTTGTTGAAGATGCAGAGAAACAGGAACCTCAAGCACTATTGGTACAACTGTACCACAGGACCATCACTTTGGAAAATAGTTTGATAATCCCTTAAGACCTTAAAAAGTAGAGTTACTATATGATACAGAGATTTTATTGCTGTTTATACAAACAAGAGACTTGGAAATATGTTCACACAAAGTCTTGGATTCAGTATTTGTAGAGGCATCATTCATGATGACCCCAAAGTGAAACCAACCCAAATATCCATCTATATTTATCAGAACAGATAAACTGTGGTATAGCCACACAAGGGAATACTCAGAAACAAAAAGAAAGGAAATATTAACACATGTTATTATATGGATGGACTTGGAAGCATCATGCTAAGTAGAATAAGCCAGTCACAAAAGACTACATACTGCATGTGCCACCATGGCCAGCCAAATATTTGCTTTTAGGGTGAAATAAAAGATATCAGGGCTGGGAATGGAGCTCAGTGGTACAGTACACATTCATCATGCTTAAAGACCTGGAAATAATCATGGCACATATTTTTCAATTTCTAGCTATGTCCTAGGAGTTTAAGGATGGGCAGATACATAGCAGAAGTAAAGGATGGAGAGAAACTGTAGGGATGACCTAAGGTCTATACTTGGGCATAGGTAGGAAAAGGTAAGATAGACCTTTTTTCTGTCTACTGTCTCTGGTGTGTGTGTGTGTGTGTTCCGCGCGTGCGTGCGTACATGCGCATGTGCGCGTGCATATTGCTGTCTGACTCCACAGTTCTGAAACTGTAAGTGCATGCCAGCATGCCTGGCTTTTAAAAAAAGATTATTTATTTTATGTATGAATGTTTTGTCTGAATGTATACATGTGTACCATATATGTGTGGTACCCACAGTTAGAAGAGGGTGTCAGATCTCCTGGAATTGGAGTAATAGATGGTTGTGAGCCACCATGTGGGTATTGGGAATCAAATTTGGGTCCTTTTCAAGAGCAGTAACTGTTCTTTGTTGTTGTTTTTCGAGACAGGGTTTCTGTGTAGCCCTGGCTGTCCTGGAACTTGCTCTGTAGACCAGGCTATCCTCAAACTCACAGAGATCTGAAAGGCATGTGCCATCACTGCCCAGATGCAACAAGTGTTCTTAAGCACTAAACCAACTCTCCAGCCACCCATGCCTGACTATTTTACATGGGTTCTTGGAATCAAATTCAGGTACTCATGTTTATTAAGGAGCCACTCCTAACTCTCAACACCTATTTCTGGCTTTAATAGTTTGTTTGGATTTATCGAGAATATTTTCAAACACCTTCAATTTGCTCCATGAAAGCATTCCCAAATCTTAATTGCCCCCCCTCCGCATATATAACAACCATACCTGTACAAGTAATAACAATGTCCACTTGTCGGATGACCTCATTTAATTTCACTAGTCGAAATCCATCCATACTGTAGAAATAAAGCAGGATCAATTAAACTAAGTCAGTAGATGGGGGTCTTTTCTTAAAAGCTAGTACCAAGTTCTTTGGGTAGTTACAATGTCACTTCTTGGATAGCTGGATTGTGCCCAGGGTGTTCATTTTGCTTGGTTTTGAAGACAGTGTCATTGTATAGCCCAGGCTGGCCTCAAACTCAGGATCCTCTAGCCTCTTCCTCCCAAGCACTGGAATTACAGGTGTGTGCCACCACATCTGGCTTGATTACTCCTCAGCCAAAAGTCCAGATCATTCCCTTAGTTTACACAGGAGAAATGTAAAAGCTCCCTTGTATCTTTGAAACTAGTTCTTCCTTGAAGTAGAGAGCCACGCAAGGGCTGCTGTGATGTTCCCAAGCCAGATTTCTAGAAAGAGACATGTGGCCATTGAATCTATTCTTACTGAACCTGTTCTCCCAAGAACAAACTACTATTTTCTTAGGGTCTTATAGTACTTGAGTCCTCTGCCACATTAAACATAAGTTACCTGCTTAAAACCTAGCCCCCCCCCCTTTTGGGGTGCTGGGGCTTGAACTCAGGACATTGTACAAGCGAGGCAATTGTACCCAATTTGGCTACATTCTTAGCTTTTCCCCATATTTAAATAGTGACACTTCATGGTGTTCTTCACTGGACTCTTCTCTGTTCTTTCAGTACTCTTTTTTTCCCCCAAGACACAGTTTCCCCATGTAGCTTTGGAGCCTGTCCTGGAACTTGCTTTGTAGACCAGGCTGGCCTTCAACTCACAGAGATCCGCCTGCCTCTGCCTCCCGAGTGCTGACATTAAAGGTGTGCGCCACCACTAACTGGCTCAGTATTAATTTTATCCTGCCTTTGGCTGTAAGTAGTCACTCACAGATGACTAACTGACCACAGTCTTCTCTCGCCTCCCAGGTGGTATTAGAACCCAGGCACTGGGCAGAAAGGACAGAGTTCTACCATCCATCTACACCTCCAGCAGTAGGTTTTTAACTTACATCTCTGAGGTGCTTCAGAGCTGAGGGTTATACACTCCCCTAGGTATCTCAAGGATTCCCCAGAAAGATCCCAAACTTTGTAGATTTTGGAACCTATCCTGGAACTCATTCTGGAGACCAGTCTAGCCCTGAACGCACAGAGATCCACCTGCCTTTGCCTCATGAGTGCTGGGATTAAAGGCATGCGCCACCTCAACCTGGCTTGATTCAAGTGTCTTGAATTTATGGCCCCACACAACCTTTTGAGACAGGGTCTGAACTTACTTTGCATACTAGGTTAGCCTTAAAATTGAGGCCCTTCTCTTGAGGTGTTGGGTCTATAGGTGTGTGCACTACCACGCCTGACCTGCCCCCCCTGCCCTGCCTTTTTTTTTTTTTTTTTTTTTTGATCATTATTTTCAAAAAAGTAGGGATTATATATGTTGGGAGATGTTAATGGGGTATTTGTTCATTAAATAAACCAAAGCATCCTGTTACTGTTTCCACAGGAATTCTAAATTTTCTCTTCTCTCGGAGCAGGACTCCTTGACTTTTGCAAGACAGAAGCTTGGAGTTCACTTAGCAGCTTCCCTGGATCTGGGCCTGAGACTCGGCAGTGTGCATGTCAGACAGCAATGTAAAGGAGGAGCAGGCTTCCATCCCTTTGCATGCTCACCAGGCTTGCAGGGCACAGATGGGGTCAATCTCAGTCACATACACAATGGAACCCATGGCTTTCAGAGCAGCACAGCACCCCTTTCCCACCTGAAAAGGAAAGAACACACACAATAAAGAAAGTCAGTGAGAACACACGTCTCAAAGCTTCTGGGAAAGGAAGGGTACCCACCCTCCTTTCCTCCCCTCAAAGTAATTTTGCTGAATAGATTCGTGTTCAGGAAAAACCAAGGAAAACAAGTAAGTGTAGTTCATAAACAAACCCCTGGCCCCTGCCCAGCACATTCATATGCATGAGAACACCCACATTCACAATTCATAATCAAAACAAGCTAAGAGAACATCACAGAGGTGCTGGGACAAGTCAGAAAATCAACTGCAGCAAAAATACAAAGGGAAAAGCAAGGTACTTAACTCGAGACTTCTGAAGCTATGTGTTCCCATCTAAAGTGGTACATGAATATACTTATGTCTGTATATAAATCTCTGGAACATTTCATCAAAATACATTTTAAACATCCAACAAGTAAAAGGTTGAACTTTACCTCTCCATAGCCACAGACCACTACTTGCTTTCCACCAAACATCATATCTGTTGTCCTTTTAAGTCTGGGGAAACAAAAGCAAAGCCCAGCCATTAAATCAGAAGAAATGTTTTTTTGTTTCTACCTGAGGTTTGTGCTTCTGTTTTGAATTTTTTCATTTTAAAGTATGCATTTCTCCATCTGACCAGTTCTACACACACATGGGTTTTGCTCCCTCACACTTTAATCCTTTTCTCCTTCTTGGTAATAGTGCAGAAAGACGTAGATTACACAGTGACTTGTTAACACAAAAGCAGTGTGTACTTATATTGCAAACAGATATGGGCAAAAAAGGAAGAAACTAATAAGTCAACAGGAATTTTAATTTAGGCAGTAACAAAATTCTAGCTTAATAGAAACATTATTCTAGCTTCCTGTTTTAGAACGACACCATTAGCAACGCATTTAGCAGTATCAGAAGGCCAGTTGGTTCTACATAGATCTAATAGGGAAAGTAATGGACAGTAAGTCAGAGATGCCGTGAGTGAAACCTGCTGATGCTGCTATACGGACAGCGAGCTTTCTGGGGCTGATCCCAGAGCAGATACATTCTACCTTTTTATCTGGTTCTCTGTGAAACTGATCCTTGCTGTTTCCATGATTTCTGGAAAGAACATCTAGGAATGAATTCTGTTTTCTCTTTGGGCATAATGGGATGGCATTCTCTGAAAATCTTAAGACAAAAGCGTTTCAACTAAAATCCAGTCTATTCTGAGATAAACAGTCCCTCCAAATACTTGTAAGACTTCCTACTTATTTATCCATCTGCTTACCCCTTCTGGTGCAAAAGGGTCTACAAACGCCCAAAGCAAAGTAAGAATCCTATTTTTAAAAAATGACTTGGTAACTCCTCTCCACGGATGCAGCTCACTTAATACCACTGAAGTGTGAGGATGTTGCTTTCTCACTGAAGAGGTAAGTCAGTGAAAAGCCATGGGTTAGCAGAGTGGCCTTGCAATGGCTAGCACAGCAAGGGCAATCAAGGGGGAGGGAAACATTTCTGGGCCTCCTTTCCTTTGACCACTTTTCTCAAGCTTCCCTCATCCCTCTCTTTGTAACTACACATAGCTGTGGTGGCGTGCAAACTTCATTCACACTGCTCCTCTGCAAATGACAGCAGGCTACAGACATGGATGGATTCCAGTTAGGCAGTGATTTTCCTGTGATCTCAGGATCTTCCTCAAGAATAATGGACAGAGAAGACTTCATTAAAGGATTCGGGGAACATAAGCTACCTGGTGCTACTTGAGAGTCATGCCAATGTCTTAAGTTCTCTTTGGTTCTTCTAGCCCCAGAACCCTCCAAGAGCTGAAACACTATTTTATAATGAGAAAATCCCAGCTGAGCTCCTTTGGAGCTGCTGGGTGATCTTTCTTCCTCAAAGTGGAACCTCAGTCACCACCACCCAAGTAGGAGTCAGCAGCTACTTAAGGTGCTGTGTGTGTGATGGTGAATCTTGACTGTAACTTGGCGGAATTTAGAATAACCGCAGCAAACCTCTGGACACACCTCTGAAGGAGTTTCTAGAATATGTTAACTGATGTAGGAAGACCCTCAATGGAGGCAGTACCATTTCACAGATAGGGTCCTGGACCAGATAAGGATAAAGGGTGCATCAGCATGACTCTCTGTGCTAACTGTGGATGGAATACAATGAGACCTGCAGCCTCAATCTCCTGCTGCCAAGACTTCCCTGTCACGATCTGAGTGTGCCCTAAATAAACCTCCCATATTCGGTCCTTGCAACATGTAAAGTAACTAATGCGGCAATTAACCATCCCGGAACTACAGCAGATTAACCATTAATTAACACCTTCCACATGTGGATGCTCTCTTAGCACATGCCTGTCTCCCCCACCCCTTTACTCTCTGGTTTTGTGAGACAGGATCTTATGCAACACAACGTGTCCTCAAATTTGTTACATAAGAGAGAGCAGCCGTGACCGACCACTTCTCCTCCCTAGCTCTGAGTGCTGGGGTTACAGATGAGTGCCACCATGCTCGGCTTCTGCTGTCCCTTTCTCTGGAGCAGTTTACCCCTCCTTTCATCTCTCTTGCTCTCATCTCTACTGAGAGAACCAACCGCCCTTGACCCAATTGCAGTTTTGCACTGTCTGCAGGTACCATGCTCTTTACCGCTAAGCAAATTTAGATGCATAGCTGACGTTTTCCTGTTTCTTCCCTGTGAAATCTAACCTTAACTCTTGCTCAACTGCTTCTTTCTTTGTCACTTTCAACTTCAGAATCTTTCTTACCTAAGGAGTTAACTATGGTTGGGAGGGATTCTATCCATTTTTCTGAACTAGTAGAGTTATCTTCATGCATCTTTTACTGATCCTGGTATAGGTAGGTCAACTTTAGGTTCACAGATCTGGCACTTGAAAAGTCTAAAAGATAGTTGTGAGTAGATAAGTATTTTAATGAAATATATACATTTCTATCAATTTTGTCAGAACTGAGGTATCTGTCACAATGACCCTCACTTGTGGACACTCTATGGCTGACCACTGGGCTAAGAATTGATTAAAATGCTTAGTGTATCTGATACTACTGATTCCATAATAATATAATAGGTAACAACAGTTATAATGTGTATTGAACATTCCACCAAATGAAAACAAAACAAAATAAAACAAAAACAAACAAACAAAACCAACCAGCAAAAACCTTCCTTCAGATCTAATCTAACTTAATTCTTAAACTTACTATATAGAGAGTTCTAGAAAGACAGGCAAGGTTCTGGGTTTGGTAGCACAGGCCTGTACTCCCTTGAAAGACTGAAGCAGAATTGTTACACAGAGGCAGACTGGACTATGCATCACGTTCCAGGTCAGCTGGGTCTACACAGTGAAATACACCTCCACTTTTCTTTTTTTTTTTAAAGGAGGAAGGTAATAGCAGCAACTTATCCTGTCTCATTTAGTCCTCATCAACAACTCTATGAACTGAGTCATAAAGTTACAATTTTACAGATGAGGAAGTATGCAGAGAAGAAGCAAGGGGTTATAGTTAACAAATAAATAGTGGATCTGGCATTTAAACTGAGGTCTTTCTGATCGAGTGCCTGTGGTGTTATCACTCAGTCTGAATGGCTAGGAATTCGGTCCACAGAAGGTTCATTTTTCTATTAACCCATGTGATAGAAACACAGCATTTGGCATATTCTAAGCCATCTTGATATTTCTCTTATAAAATTAGTTGGGGGCTATGATTTGGATATAGAATGTTCCCAAAGGTCCACATGATAAAGTCCCGGCCCCCTGCTGGTATTACTAAAATGTGTTAAAAACCATACGAGGTGGAGCCTAGTGGGAGGTTTTTTAGAAATTGGAAACATGCGTGTGAAGAGGTAGAGGGGGCCCAGCTCCTTCCTTACTCTCTTTATGTCCCACTCAGCAGAGAATCATCTTTGCTTCATCACATGACCCTAACTAACTACATACTACCTCACTGCAAATCCCCAAGGCAAGTATGGACATCTGCCCACAGACCAACACCTTTAAAACCTGAGCTCTAACAGAATGCTGACTACACATGGGTGAAGATGGAAGCTGAGCACTGTCAAACCCACAACCCTCATAAAGCAGGGAAACGGGAAATGCCTCTGGGGATTAGTTCTTGGCTTACCACAAGTCTCTAGATAGTCAAGAAATTGTATGGCAGTGATAACATAAGAATTATATGGTGTGTTACAGGAACTATGACCTGATATAGGATCATCTGGAACCTCTTTCAAAATCATCTTTATGCCATTTTAATGACACAAAGTCTAACAAGATAATAAAATATGAACTCTGCTTACCAATAGAAGCCAATCCCATTTCCTTTTTAAAATTTTATTTGTTTTTATGTGTATGAATGTTTTGTCTGCATGTATGTTTGTGTACCATGTGTGTGCCCGGTACCTGTGGAAGCCAGAGGAGGGCATCAGATCCCCTGGGACTGGAATTATAGATACTTGTAAACTGCCATGTCAGTAATGGTAATCAAACAGGTCCTCTGGAAGAGGAGCCAGGCTCTGAGTCACTGAGCCGTCTCTCATTTCTTAACTGAAAGAGATTTTCTTGTAATGGTGATGGCAACAGAGCTCTGGGTTATAAAGTCCTGGGTGTGAAGTAGCGAGACATGAAACAGTTCCAGAAATAACCAAAGAAGCTGGAACCTTCACTCAATAACCCAAGATCATCTCAAAGATAACAAACATTACCCATCAAGAATAGATTCACGGCAACAGTAGAGGTTATCAAATTTCTGTTTAGTGACTGAGTCATTGACGTTCATGGCTGGAACACACAGCTTCCCAGCTTTGGACAGTTGGTACAGCCTGGGAATGGGAGAAGTCAAGAAGAACATAAAACAATGAGACATTACAATCTACTGTTGATTTTATGTCAGATCTCTGAAATACACCGATGGACTGAGCATGAGAGCACAAGACATCTACAACTAATTTCACCCTACTAAATAGATCCTGAGAAATATACTGTGTTTCTACAGGCTGTCCACAGCTTGGCAATAAGTCTTACATTAAAAAAATCATGTAGAGAAAATCTTTTATCCAACTAAATTTCAAGCTCTTAAATGAAAAACTTTTAATTGCATATCAATCTTTTTTATTTTACTTTTTTATAGACTAAGGCTTCTGTTTTGTGACTGGGTCTCACTGTGTAGCTCTGGCTGGCCTGGAACTTACTATGTAGACCAGGCTGGCCTTGACTCAGAGATCCACTGGCCTCTACTGGCATCAAAAGCATGTACCACTATGCCCATTACAAGACCAAGACTTAAAAAATATATATATTTATTTTTATGAGTATGAGTGTTTACTTGAATATATGCATAATACATGGGTATCTGGTGCCCGTGGAGGCCAGAAGAGGGTGTTGGATCCTCTAGAACTCAAGTTGCAGATGTTGTGAGATGCCAGGTGGGTGCTGGAACAAAACCCGGGTGCTCTGAAAATGTAGTAAGAGCTCTTAGCCATTGAGCAGTCTCTCCAAACTGCATATGAATTTCATGTCCCTTTTAATGATAAAAGAAGCGATTTGGGAGCTGGAGAATTGACTTGACAGGTGACAGCATGTTTTCTGCTTCTCCACAAGGCTCACACTGGATCCCATCAAGTGCCTTACAATCACCTGTAACTCCAGCTTTGTGAGATTCATTTTTTAATTAAATAAATGTATTTATTTTTTACATCTAACACTCTCTTCTGGCCTTGATAGACATGCACAAACATAGCATGCATTCACACAAACACACATGTATACATATAAATAAAAACAAAAATAAATCTCAAAAATAGCTTAAAGTAGTAGGATTATGCTGGATTTTAAAAATATTTAAAATTAGTTCTTTCAAAGCTATTTTTTCTTTTTTTTTAAAGCATTCTTTTTTATTTATTATGTATACAACATTCTGCTTCCATGTATATCTGCACAACAGAAGAGGGCACCAGATCTCATAATGGATGGTTGTGAGCCACCATGTGGTTGCTGGGAATTGAACTCAGGACCTCTGGAAGAGCAGTCAGTGCTCTTAACCTCTGAGCCATCTCTCCAACCCCAAGCTTCACTTTCATGTAATCAAAAGGATTAGAAAACGTTAAAGTGGCTTGCTTTGAATTGATTTCCCTAAAAGTTTATTTCACACTTGAAACCCTTTATGGGTAAATCAGACTAACAGAGAAGATTCCATTTTATCCAAGGAATCACTGCTCCTTTGTGATGGGGACCCAAAGTCCTTGCTGTCTGTGAGAGAGGGCATGAGTTTTGTCTACTGTGGGCCTCTAGCACAGAACAGTGCCTGGCTCCGTGTGGTAATTCAATGATTATTTATGGAATGAATTAAACTTGTCCAGAAAGAGCAAGCAGCCAGTGCACTGCAATGACAAGAAAACGTGAGGCCCCTACTTGCTCCTCCACCCAAGCTGTTCACTATTTTAGGTTTGAATTTGTGTTATTAACTAAAGTAAGTGCCTAGGCTTAGGCATGTTCCCTCAGAGAAAGCTCTAGTTTTCAGCATAATGTGTTCTCAGGTAGGTGAATGTAAGATTCTGTATCTAAGCTAGGATGACGTTAACTCTCACCTGTGAACTCCAGTAACACTCTCCTCCACTATGCCTTTGATTTTCTTAAACATGTTGGGGTACTTTTTATAAATCCAGTGCGTGAGATCTCCTCCATCATCCAGGATCTGTAACAGAAGCATCAGGAATGTCATTTGTCTTACTAAAGGCTCAGGCTTCAGTCCCTTCTCAGGGTCCTGCATCCCGGTTCCTAATTACCAGTGTAGACATCTCAAAACTTCCATGTAGTCATGAAAAGCAACCTAAAGCCAGAGTTACTACAATAACCTACCAAATAAAAGAGTCATTATACTCAAAGAAAAGAGTCTATAATTCTCTCAGTCAGATGACCCTACCACATAACATATCTACTTTATCAAACCACATTGTGACATGAGATTTTTCTTATGGATAATCAGTTCAGGAGGCCATCAGGACCTCCAGTTCTTGAATATACTTCAGATCTTCAGAAAACTCATTTCTAACTGCTGATTTTAGTACTTTAAATAAATTCAACTAAGGTTTAGTTTAAATTAGAAGAACAGATAATTAGTTTCTCTCTTTCTCTCAGAACAATGGCTTTTAAAACTGAAGTTGTTAACCCTTTACTTCTCACAAAGCACAGGCACTCTCCCACCCAGTGTCTCAGGCAGCACTGGAGGGCTCAACCTCGTACTCTGTACAAGCCAAATTAAAAATAACCGGGAACTGTGCAGGACGTAGGTGTGCATGCATGCTTCTGAACAGCTCATGACTATTTCAGGTTGGGATTGAAGATGAATACAATGCTGTGCCCACTAGAGCTTCCATCAGCAGGGGGAGGCTTCTGAGTTATAAGTCAGGCACAAGGCGGTGGCACTTCAGCCCGCCAGGACAGTTAGAAGAGCTCATCAGGGCTTCTCTAAATTGTTACAGTTCTCCTGGAGGTCTCCACAGACCAGTCACTCTCTTCTGGCATGCATTCTCTTTAAACTTCTAGGACATCAGCATTACAATGTCAGAAACACCACCCTGAACCCCAGGGAACACAAAACACCCAACCCCAGGTCTATTATCCCATCTTTTGCTTCTGCTCCTACTATTAATCTATTTTATCTAATTCAATCAAATCTTTCTTGAGGGTAGGAACCATGCCAAGACTCTCATTAGAACTCCTAGCCTGGCCATACATCTATGAATAGAGCCCCTGACAACCCAAAAAGGGGCCAAAGATATAGATCAAGGGTAGAGTCCCTAGTTTCAATCCCAGTGTTGCCACAGCCCCCCCCCCCCCCCCCCCCGCCAAAAAAAAAGGCTGGGGAAATACTTTAGTTAGTGAAGTGCTTGCCTTGGAAACATCAGGACCTGATTTTAATCCCCAGCACCCACATAAAAAGTCAGGCATGGTAGTGCAATGCCTGAAAAAACCAGTGCTGGGGAGGCAAAGATGGGACCAGTGTAGTCTAATTGTGGAGTCCCAGGTCCCAGTGAGAGACCCTGTCTCAAAAAACATGGTGAAGGCTCCTGGAATGACAGCTGAGGTTGTTTCTGGCTTCCATAACACATGTACACATATGCATATATAAGCACACATCCCACCCCCATCTTCCTACATAAAAGAAACCAAAGAGTTTCTCTCTGCTGTTCTGTATGCATGGATTCCATGAGGTTTTCACTTGCTGCCTCTGATCCCTAACCACAAGAAACAACAGACAAAAACCCAAGTAATTTCAACTCTGTGGATAAACCCCCACTATGCTCATTTACTTTTTCTTTTATTACTTATCTATTTATTGGGCTGGCTGACCACCAAGCCCCCGGCCTCTCCCTTTCTCCTCATCCCCAGGGCTGTGCTAACGAATGCCTCCTACCACACCTGGGTTTTACACGGGTGCTGGGATCCTAATGCAGCTCCTCACGTCTTGGCAGCAAGCCTTTACCCAGTGAACCAGCTCCCCAGCCTGGCCTGGAACTCTTGATCCTCCTGTTGAGATCATAGGCGTGCAGCACCACACCTGGCTTACACAGTGCTGGGGATCAAATCCAGGGCTTCATACATGCCAGGCAAATGCTCTGCCAACTGAGCTATATCCCAGCGCCTACTTTTCCCTTTAAACAAAGGTATCTGGCACAGGCCAGGAGTTGCTTTTTATAGTATTTAATGACTGCAGCCTATAAATTCCCTGTGTTGTCCTACTGCAGAAAGTTCTTGACCTCAAATAATCTTCCTCTTCCTGAGGTTGGAATGTAAGGAAAGTATTGGGTCTTGGCCAAAGATATGAGTTTTGTTTTCTGAGGTGAAACTATTTTGATCCTTGTAACTGTCTTTACTAGCAGCTGTGTTGGCTGCACATACTGTAAAGGCTCTCTGGGTACAATGCCACAGCCTCTCTGTGGTCAAGACTATAAAATTAACTTTATTCCCAAGAGACACGTGCCCCCCCACCTCCCCATCTTATTTATGTGTCAGTCAGACTTCCTTCTTGTCACCTAAAGTTGCTGGAATGAGCTGACTCATCTTGGAGGCACCATCATTTCCTCCTTCAAGTCAGCAAGCACTTGGTGCCATGTGACCTAGATGGCAGTGAAGAAGTTTTTAGCTGTCAGCAGCAAGGAATCATTGCCCCCCGCCCCACTGATTCTCTAATTTCTTTTTTTATTTAATTTCTTTTTAAATTTCATTTTACATTCCAACCAAAGTTCTCCCTCATACCCCTCAATTCTCTAATTTCTTTCTTTGTTTATTTTGTTTTGTTGATTTTCCAGACAGGGTTTCTCTGTGTAGCCCTGGCTGTCATGGAACTTGCTCTGTAGATCAGGCTGGCCTTGAAGTCACAGAGATCCTCCTGCCTCTGCCTCCCAAGTGCTGGGATTAAAGGTGTGTGCCACTACTGCCTTACTGATTCTTAATTTCTTAATAAAAGAATGCAGAAATGTTGGTAAGACAAGGAAATGTATCATATTTTTATGCCTTTTTCTTTCTCTATGAATGCAATTGTGATTTAGTTTCAAGACAGTGTGTGTGTTTATTTAAATAGTGTAAATCCAGGGCTTCCAGCATGCTAAACCAGGGCTCTACCCCTAAATTATACACAACCCAGTCCTAAATTTAATTTTTTTTTTAATTCTTCAGGCTGGGGACTAAACCTAGGGCTTTATGCATCTCAGGCAAAAGCTCTCCCACTGAGCTTATCCAACAGCCTCTCAGACTGGATCTTTTAAACAATGAAACAAAAAGTAAAGTATAAAGGAAAACCCCTAAACTTCCTAGTCATCTTTTACAAAATAAAGAGAAGAAATGTGCACTTGGAAATTCTCTAAGCACACTAAAAGCTCAGTGTGAAGATTCCTGAGAAAGCTAAGTGCCTCAGGAGCCCTAAGGCCCCCGAGCCTTCCCATGTGTCTGTTTGTTGGTATTTATGGCAATTGTTACTGGAGCAACTGTGAAACAGCAGTAGGGGACAGAATGTATCACTTCTGCTTGTCATCCCATCATGTGTGAATCCTGGGTAGCATTTTCATATTACTGATAAATGTAAATGCTTCCAGGCTGGCCTCAAGCTCATGCTTTGCCTGTCCCAGCTTCCTGATCGTTGGGATCACAGATGCACACCACCACACTGAGCTCATCAAGACTCTTTGCAGTGTTAGCAAGTTCAGTGTCTAGAGGTATCCTAAGCAGATTCACTGAATTTTGCTGGAAACCCAAGTCCATCAGACAGAAATGGGTCCCTTTTTCCTTCCTTCTTGTCAGTCTTTCCCATCATCATCCCCGTCCTTAGAAGTTGCATTAACAGAATCTCACCCACCATGTTTGGCTGCCAGCCCTCCACATTCACACATCTGTCAATGCACCACCAAAAGTCATCCTCTGACTCTCCTTTCCAGGCAAAGACAGGAAACCCTAAAAATAATAAAAGGAACAAAGAGAAACCATTAAAGGCCATAAAAGGGCCAATACCCAAATTTTAACAAGAAAGTGCCAATTCCTGCCAATTCCTAACTTTCTAATTTTGCTATATTTTTTGGATTAACTTCCATCACTGGCTAATATTGCCTTCAATCCCTTATGCACTCCTTTTCCTGCAGTGGCTATTCTGCTCTTCTTGGCTCAAAAAGGACAAGCAACAAGACTGTAAGAGTTGCTAAAAATAGGACTAACAGGGAAAGAGAAGAATCCAGAAATGAGTACTTGATCCAGAGTCAAACTGTCAGTCTCATCATCTCCCAAATCTACTTGTTTTTCTTCTGTTAGTTACTCCACATGCCTCACTGGAAAATGCTCATACTGTATCTACTAAAGTGCTTGTTCCACATCATAAGTGTAATGGCTGTTATGCAAGCTGCTTAACTTAGCTGGGTGAGAACCAAATGAGCAGGAACTCTTCTAAAGCCATTGTTTATGTATTTATGTATTACTGAACATAGATTTATTTATCTTTGCAGCACTGGCGAATGAAGCTATGATTCACAGGGTACACTAAGCAAGTGCCCTATGACTGAACTTCACCCCTAACCCTAGTTATTCCTTCATTTATTATTTATTCATTTAGGTAGAGTTGAGACAATATTTCACCATGGAGTTCAGGACAGCCTCAAACTTGCAGCCTTAGCCTTCTGAGGGCTGGGGTTGCAGATGTGAGCCATGATTCCCACCTTTCTTTTGAAACATTTTAATTATGAGACAAGATTTTAACCAAGTTTCCTAGGCAGGTTCTGAACTATGATCTTTCGCCCTCAACCTTCCTAATAGCTGGGATGACAGGAATATGTCACCATGCCTAGTCTTAAATATGGGTTTATAAGAAGTTGTGACGTTTTGTTAAACTAGCCTTTTTACTATCATTTATGTAAGTATGTTTTCTTCTTTATCACAATATAAATTCTGAGAGCAAAGATATTTCTCAGTATCTATTAGAGTCAATAATCATTTGCCAAAAAAGAGAAAGAAATGAATACCTATGTAAAATTCACTAGATATATATTTAATATTTGCATAATTTTCTATTGTAGACAAACAATACAATTTTATAAATAATGAAAGAACTAATGACATGCCAAGAGTGCTAGCAAGAGGAGAGATAAGTATATTTTGTATGGTTTTCTTAGAGTCTCCCAAGAGCTCAGAAGCAGTTTTGGTACCCAAATCTGCGTGTACTGCTACACACAGGGAAGACAGAAAGCCACAGAATCCATATTTCTCTTTCTTTTGTCCTTCAAGCATTCAGTGGATATTTCGATCAGTTAACCTGCCAGGCCAAGTCCTCTTTACTGCTGAAGCAGACATGCTAAACATCAAATCAGGGTGAGCCACCTGCTGGAAAACCTGCAGGGCCACAAACTGGCTCAAGTATTAGATACTACCTTGAGGGGAGCAGTGTTCACTGGTGGCCTGTTAGTGAATCAAATCCAAGTGTCATTACTAGAGCATTAGACATAGGTAGATATCTGCCAACTATAATACAAGAGTTAACTAGATCATGTTTGACAAAAGAAGCCCTCCAAATGAACAAATTTACCAATCCATTTCTTCACAGGCAGCTACCATACTGTCATCCTTAAAGATTTATATGGAAACAGTGGAACTTCTTGAAGATTTATCTTAGCCAAAGACAGAAAACAAAAGTCAGCTCTTACCACTTTCTGCCAGAGCTGCAGCCACTTCGTTGAGAGTGGAGTAGATGTTACAGGCAGCCCATCGGCATTGCGCTCCCAGAGCGCCCAGAGTTTCCATAAGCACCTGTGTTAAAGAATGCGGCGATAAACAAGCCTGCAATAAACAACGGCCGGAGACTGAGCTTGTCTTTTTGTTTTGTTTTGAGACAGGGTCTCACATACCCACGCAACTCTTGTTTCCCCTACTTCCGTTTCTCAAGAGTTGACATTACAGACTTGTGTCACCATCCCTGGCTAAGTTCTACCTTTGACAATATAATACATCAAGAGTAAGCCAGGCCAATGGCTTTTAAGCTTTATAGGACATCTTCAGTGTGTTCAACACAGGGCAGAGGAGTAGCTCCAGTAAGAGTCTATACCTTTCCCAGTAAGATTTCATTAAGAATTTCAGAGAAAAGTTTTTTGTTTTGTTTTTTAAATCAAAACACAGACATACAGTTCTGTTTCTGTTTAGGATACATGAAGCAAGAGAGTTCCAGGTAGGGCTGGAGATGCGGCTCAGTTGGTAGAATGTCTACAGGAAGCCCTGGGTTGGATTCCCAGAGACTCTACTCAGGGCTCTGATGTGGATTGGGTTTGTTTTGTTTCTGGCAAAGCATGGGAGGAGAAGGTAGCTGCATATGCAAAGGTAAGAAAAATTGGCTAATGCCGGGCATTGGTGGCACACGCCTTTAATCCCAGCACTCAGGAGGCAGAGGCAGGTGGATCTCTGTGAGTTCGAGGCCAGCCTGGTCTACAAAGTGAGTTCCAGAACAGCCAGGGCTGTTTCACAGAGAAACCCTGTCTTGAAAAATCAAAAGAAAAATTAGCTAACATTTTAATTCAATGTTAAATGTAGGAAAGTGTATAATTTGGAATTTTGTGTTGCTCCAACTAGACACAAGATTTCATACCCACAGGCAAGTTCCTTTCCAGGAGTACCTGCTCAGTACTCACAAGGAAAACTAGTCAGGGGGCTGAGTGTACTACACTAGTCTCTCAGGGGAAGCAGAAGTCTTAACTAACAGAAGTTTAGCAATCATGTCTGCCAAGAGAGCCATGCAAAGACCCCTTGCTTCTGGGGAGATAAAAGCAAAACTGGGAAGGGCCACACAGACCATCCTGAGCCCACTGTGGGATACATATTATAATCACTACTCATAATTCTAAAGATGTAGTACTTCTTTCTCGACAAAAGGCAAGAAAATATCTTCTTCCAGACCGAACAACTGAAAGAACAATCTGGCTGCTACAGAAAGCAATAGGGACAGGAAGAAAGCCTTGGCTTCACAGAGGCCTGCTTACTGCTGGCTGGATAAGAAGATTCAAGACTCTCATTTGTCCTTACCAAGAAGGCTCACCCAACACAAAGTAGCAGTCTAGGGCAGGCCCCTGAGAAGAGCTCTCTGTGGCACACTAGTGTTCAAGCAGCTGAAAGCTGAGGGCGAAGCAGAAAACATTAAGGAAAGCCATTTAGGAACTTATTATCAGCCTAAGTAACCTATAATCTCCAGCCCGCTGCAGAAGAAATGTGAAGCCTACAGTGCACAAAACAGTTGAAATTCCAAACAAGTCATAACTTTAATGGAAATGAAGAAGTCACCACTCAAAGACTGCAAGATGTGAAAACAAAAGTTGGTAGTGTGTTTGCCTGAAGCCCTGGATTTGATCTTCAGCACTACAGAAATCATGTGTGGTGGCACTGGTCCAAATCCCAGCACTCAGGAGGAAGAGGCAGGAGAACTCGAAGCTCAAGGTCATCCTTGAGCAATGGTGAGTTCAAGAGAGCTTGGTTTAAGTGAGACTGTCTCAAAAAACAAAAGGAACTATGATAAAACATAACTATAACAACTGTTTATGCTAATAAAAATATACACAGCATTGACAAACAGAGAGCTTTTAGCAGAGAGAGATGGAAACTATAAAAACAGGTCAAATACAAATCCCAGAAACAAACGAACAACAACAACAAAAACACAACATAATGAAAAACCATAAAAAGTACTGAGAATTCCTACAACAGTCTTTCCAGACTGGGTACTTTCAAGGACACAGTCAGTCAACTTAAAGACAGAATACAAATTACAAACTAAAATACAAAGAGAAAAGGAGAGCAGGGAAAACAAAGCAAAACACACATAAAACAAACAAACAAACAAACAAACAAACAAAAAACACAGAACAGACCATCCAAGAAGAACGGGACGTTATCAGATGACTTGACATATGTTACTGAAATTCACAGAAGTAAAGATGGAGAGAACAAGTCAAAAGAAATCCACTTGGAGTTAATGGACAATCATTTTCCAAAATTAATAAAAGAAGATCCAGGAACAATATCTGAGTAGTGCCAAGATCCACTGAAAGCAGCCCTTGTGAGTTCCTTTAAAAAAATGACTGACTCCAAGGCTATGGACACAAGGTAAGAGTTGATCATTATGTACCAGAAGTAAGGAAATGCTCCAGGAATGAAAGGGAAGGGTCAAAAGAAAAGAAAGGCCGGGAGACAGCTTAGTAAGTGCTAGCCTTGCAAGCACGAGGACCTGTGCTTTATCTCCGGAACCTTCATGTCAAACAAAAACTAAACACACACAAAAAAACAAACCAAAGTAAACAAAGCAAAAAAGCTGAAGACAGAAGATCCCTGAAGCTTGTTGACCAGCTTGCCTTGCCTATTTGGAGAGCACCATGTTAGCGAAGAAACCCTATTTCAAAATACAAGGTCGATGGCTGCTAGGAAAAATGATGCCTGATATTCTCTCTCTCTCTGTGTCTCTCTGTCTCTGTCTCTGTCTCTCTCTCTCACACACACACACACACACACACACAGACACACATACATGTACACACAGACACACGCACACATACATATACACACATGCATATGCATAGACACACAGACACACACAGACAGACACATACACAGGAGAGTGGGTAGAGATGTCTCATTAAGTGAAGTGCAAAGAAGACTGAACCCTCCTCCCTCCCTGTCTCTTTCTTTTGGGAGGGGCAGGGTCTCATGTAATCCAGTAGCCCAGGCTGGCCACAAGCTAGCTCACTACTCAGTGGAGGGAGGATGCCCCTGAACTTCTCTTCTTCTGGCCTCACTGTCCCCGGAGCTGGGAGTACAGATATGCACCACCATGTCCAGGGACCAAACCCAGGGCTTTGTGGTGCTCGGCAAGCTCTCTACTAAGCCACATCTCTAGTTCCAATTCTTTATATTACTATATTTTATAGAGGTCATAACTGAATATTATAAAATTAACATGAACAGAGATCAAAAGGAAGAAACATACTCCTGTAAGGATAAAGAAGAAAATGTAGGGTGGAAATAATGAAATGATACTAAACTTGGTAAACCAATCATGATTAATTCATACAGGAAAAATAGAGAGGGAGGCCCAAAGGGTGGTGACTGATATTCAGTTAGCCTGGGGTGAAAACAAGCTAGATATAACTTAGCAACATGAGCCAGTAAATAGAGAAGCACTTCCTATCTTAAGCTACCACACTGAATTCTGATGGGAGAGGCCCAGGGAAGGTTTCAAGCACGCTTCTGCCTCAATTCATTAATCTGCAGCTCCAAAAAAGAAGTTACTTTTTAATTTATTGTATTAATTTTAGGAACTCAGGCATCCTTTTCCTCAGAGAGCATGTAACTCAGCAAAGTCTGTTCCTAGGGAGCCTGCCCTTCATCAGCAAGGTGACGATGCACAAATGTGCTGAAGGAGGGACAACTCTAAGGTGACTGAGGTACTGGCAAAATAGCTCAGTGACAGGAATACCTGTCTGGTCTCAAGAAAGCTCCAGCACTGAAAAATGAAGCAACTAACTAACTAACTAACTAACTGGGTGTAGAGCACATGTCTGAAATCCCAGCACTCAGGAAGATCAGATGTTTGACTGATACCAACTTCATTGGCTATATAGCAAGTGCAAGGTTAGCCTGGGCTGCATGAGACCTTGTCTGAAAACAAAACAAAAGAGCTGGAGGTATGATTCAGTGCGTAAACTGCTTGTTGTGTAAGTATGGGGACCTGAATTCTGATCACCAACACCCATGTATAATCTGGGCGTCATGGGATACTTCTCTAAGCCTGGTGATGAGGGAATGGAGACAGGTGGGAAACCCTTTTCAAAAAATAGATGTGATTGAAGAAGATACCCAATATCAACCTCTGGCCTCTATGAAGGAGAAAACACACACACACACACACACACACACACACACACACAGATGAAGAGAGCACATGCACACTGGCTAACCTTTTGTATGGTGGCGTGTACCCATAATTCCATCATCTGGGGGCGTTGAGACAGGAGGATCATGAGTTCAAGACCAGCCTCAGCTGCACAGCAAGTTTGAGGCCCACCTAGGCTACATCAGACCCTGTCGCAGAAGAAGGGAGGGAGAAGGAAGATGATCTAGAGCTTAGAAGTCCCATAAAAGGAGTTAGAGCTTTTTCAACACTCCAATCTTCCTACTGGTCTCAATGTGTTTGGAACTCAATACTAACTACATATTTTTATGATGACCCCCCAAAAGACATACAGAGTACTAAGGGAACACTTTCACTTGTCACAATGATTGTGGGGAGTGCTGCTGTCCTTAGTGGACAGGGCCAGGGATCTGTAACACTGAAGTATAAGACAGCCATTTACAATAAAAAATGGCTGATCTAATATCAATTTCAATTGTCCCAATAAAAGTTCACATGGTGAAAACCCTACTTATAATCATTTGATCTTAGAAACTAATTCTACCTTACATACTGACAGAAATATCTTTTATAGTTTCAATACAAATAAAAGTCTTTCTAGGACTGCAAGAATTGTATAAATGTAAAGAGAATGCTGTCATTGTTCAGAAGTTGGAAAGAATTGCTTTTTATTTCATAAAATCCTAAAATCAATGGAAAACACAGCCCTAGTGCTCTGGACATAACCCTACACTGCCAGCAGGGCATGGGAATACACGCCTACAATTCTAGCACTTGGGAGACAGAAGGATCAGGAATTCAAAGCTAGCCTTAGCTACAACGGCAAGTTAAAGGCCAGTACAGGACACATGAGATACTGTCTCAAAAATAAAGTCAAATACAAAGACAGAAAGAAAAGCAGGGGCTGGAGAGATGGCTCAGCAGTTGAGAGCAGGGTTTGGTCTCCACACACACAGACTATGAGAGAGTTCCATGCTCTCTTCTGGTCTCTGCAGGCACTGTGCACACACGGTACACTTACATACATGCAGGCAAAACACTCATTCACACAAGACAACCCCCCCACACAAACATTTCTATCTATATGTGTCAGGACAGATATTGAGTATTCTGTTATAGTGGTGCTTAAGTATTTACATACTGAAATATATTTTTATAAATTACTTTCTTTTTATTTCTTCCTATTTTAGTTCTGATTCTGTATTTAAAAATTTAAAGATTACATATAACATAGGTTATGATGTATCTGAATTCTACCTCAGTATAACTCAGGGGCACTGGAAGGATGTTTCTTATAAATAGAATATAATGCTACTGAGTGTAGGAATCCCTGGTCTAAGCCAATCTTGGGGATTCTAGTCCCCTTTTCAGAACTAGGGGAGCAGAGGCATGTGACCTGTACATACTCCACACATGGTACACCTATATACACGGAGACCTGCACACACATGGTACACCCACATGGTGACCTGCACACACTGCATACATGAGCATGTCCTCCTCAGGGTGACCTGCTGGACCATCCTGCAAGGGTTTTCTTGCTCTTAGGAGAGCAGAAGAAACAGTCCTCCTCTTCTTATCAGTTCGCGGTGAGTAAGTGGCTGTAAGTGCCTTTCTATCAGCTTGAAGATGAAGTGGGCAAACTGTGGAGACAGCTCCAAAAGAATCAGGAAGAGATGAAACAGGAGCCTTGTGTCCACCACCTGCCTTCCAGATGGACTTTTAGCAATATCACATAACTGATTCCTCGATGCTGAGACCAGTTGAGTCCGTTTTCTCTTACTTGCTGCTGAAGGCAGCTCTATATGGAAGGCTGACTCAGAGAGAGGTCACTAGAAAGGGCAACGAGGGGAAGCTGTGTGGTACAGCAGTGGAGGACTTCACTCGCTCACCTGGCAATTCACGTTCAAGCCCGAGCCTGGCTTCCCAAGCTGTGTAACCCTGGAAAAATTACCAAAGCATACTGGGCCTCAGCTTCCTTGTTTCTTTCTTTTTCTTTTTTCTTTTCTTTCTTTTTTTTTTTTTTTGTTTTTGTTTTTTTGTTTTTGTTTTGTTTTGTTTTGTTTTTCGAGGCAGGGATTCTCTGTGTAGCTTGGGAGCCTATCCTGGCACTCACTCTGGAGACCAGGCTGGCCTCGAACTCACAGAGATCCGCCTGCCTCTGCCTCCCGAGTGCTGGGAGCTTCCTTGTTTCTAAAATGGAAAAAGGAATACATGCCTACAAAGCATCACATGGGTTAATGAAATAATATGGTCAGTCTGGTGCCTGCTGGTGGTGTGCTTTTAGCGGCTGGTACAATTACTGTTATTAGGAGGAAAAGGACTCACAGCGGTCTGCGCAGTGATGTGTGTACAACCCACAATTTTGGCTCCAGCCAAAGGCTTTTCTCCTTGGGCTCTCTTCCTTAAGGCCATCAGGGCAGGCATCTCTGGAAAGGCCCAATACAAACACAGAATATTAAACAGAGAGAATGAGAAATAAGATACTAAACAGAAAAATTACTCATTTAAGTTAAGACCATTCCCTTGGTCAGCTTCTGTTAGATGAGGTTCCTGAATGTTCTCTGAGAGGCTTTCAGAGACAAATGTTCCCCAGTTTTATTCTCTATCTGCCAGTCCTTCTTATCCAGGGCTTTCCTCTAAACTATCAGAGTTCGTTCCCTCCCCACAGTGTTTCCTAAGCTCAGATTCTCTTAAATATTCTTCAGGAAGTGGACATACTGACTCATACCCATAAATCCCAGTACTTGAGAGGTAGAAGCAAGAGAACTGCCTCAAATTCAAGGTCAGTCTAGGCTACAGAGTTGAGACCTTGTCTCAGATTAATATAAGATTGCACTGAAAATTGACAAGTCAGCTGACCCAGGATGTATTAGTATGACAAAATGACACAGGCAGGTAGAAAGGCATTTCTTTCTTTACCTTGTTCAGCAATTTCAATTTCTCTGCGTCCAAACTCTGCCTGTTTGATGTTCTTGACACAGAAGTCACTACTTCCTTTAGAGTTCTTTTGCTGCTTGTCCCGGGGGGATGTCTCATCATCAGAGCTATCTGTATATGAAGCAGCTGGAACACAAATAAAAAAAAAAATCTATCAGGGAAAAGATTAGCTTCTTCCAACGTTGCAAAGCACTGACTTCACTAGTCATTAGCGCTACACAAATTAACACCTCTAGGAAGCTCCTTAATGAAACTTGGAGTTGTACCGATCATTGCCTATTACGCAAGGTGCAACAGTTACGAAGGGCAAGCTGAGAGAGCTGCAAAAGGCATTCTCCCTGGGAAGCATTCACTTGGAATCTAGTGCTAACTTTTCGTTTTGAACACAGAGAAGTGTAATACTTGAATATGCAGAGAGAGGGAAGTTGCCTCGCGGAAGCCACAGGTTAAAGTTCCTAAGCAAGCCAGTCATTAACCCATGGGTTTCTAGCCTGATAACACCCCTCTGCCTGCTGCTTAAATGCCTGAAGTAATTTGCTTTGTAGTACAATAACTGCACAGATAAGACCTGAAAAACAAGGAACTCATGGGAAAGTAATTAAGAACCACACAGAAGGAATTTGTCTGACATAACAGAGCTATGTTTCTCAGGACTGGCTCTGATGAGGCAGAACTATTCTTGCAGATCCAATTAGACACTGACAATTCAATGTACTATCCTCCTTTTCTAGCCGCTGTTCCCAAAGCAGCAAATATCCTCTTTTGGTACATTTAGTGCCCTGCAGACTAATCCACTAGCAATACACACTACAAATAGCAGTGGTTCTCACCCTTCCTGATGCCAGTTACAGTTCCTCATGTTGTGGTGACCCCAACCATAAAATTATTTCGTTTCAACTTCATAACTATAATTTTGCTAGTCTTATAAATTGGAATGTAAATAATTGTTTTCCAATGGTCTTAGGAGACCTCGGGGAAAGAGTCATTTAACCCCCAAAGGGTCACAATCTATATAGGTAGAGAACCACTGCACTTACAGGGTAAAAGGGCCACACTTGATTGTGGCCAACAGGCAGTTACTGCTACTGAGTTCACAGCCTTAGTGGAGATCTTTTTAGTCTTTATGTTCTGAAGCAATTTCTGTCTCGATTTTTTTTAACACGATAGTTCTTCCTAGTCCTTGCAGCTTGGGGGAGGATGGAGGACATAAAACACGATCTATAGAGTGTTTACATCTCTCCATGAAGTTAGCACTGCCATCACTTCTGGGGGGAGAAAGCTGCACACACTCAGAGCTCCTGTGGGCCTGGGGCTCTGATCTACTTAGATCTAGAGCATTAGGGCATTTCTGGGATTTCTTAGCTGAGGGTCTATCTGGGTGGGGGTGGAGGGCAGACTGTAAAAGGCAAGTCCCACCTTGCCCAGTTAATCAGGCACAGTGCTGCATACTGTGGGGTCAGCTGGGGCTAGACGATCTCTCTTTCTCTGGTGAGCTGCCTTAGAGCAAAGTCCTAACAGGAGGGCACAGGAATGAACATGCACACCAGGGGAGGTGAAGGAATTAGTAAAGCCCCAAAGGGACTTTTGTTCTTACAAGGAACTAATCTGCACAAAACTTTCTGGTTCCTCTCCTAGGGTAAGAGAGCTCAAAGTACTTTTGGCAACAGAGCTAGAAATAGCTTTCCTGGCATCGTCTGTTTTATCAGTCAGTATTCGATATGGTTTAGGAATGACAGGCTTAAGAGACCACCTTCTCCCACCTGAGAGAAAACGGTACTAGCTTCTCCAGTCCTGATCCAGATTTACAAGGAAACTGAATTTGAAAAAGGAGTTGAAAAAGTGGTGGGATTAAAGGTGGGTGTCACAACACCTTGGCTCCAGTTTTTGTTGTTGGCCTTTTGTTTCCAATTTAAAGAACAAACCAGTTACATTATTTCCTTATGCTAGAGCTGAGAAAGCTGGAATTTTACTTTCTTTTCAAACAGGGTCTCACTATGTAGCCCTGGCTATCTGAGAACTTGATATATAGACTAGCCTCAAGCTCACAAAGATCCACCTGCCTCTGCCCTCAGGTGCATGAAATATGTGTACCACCATGTCCAGCTTTACCTTCTTAATAGCAGGCAGCTAATACCACTTTTTTTCTGAGACAAAGGTTTTTTTCCCAAGTCTTTTATACAAAGCTACAATTGGCAGGTACTTTTGGCAGCAACTGTCCTTCAGTGCACTGTTACGTGGCTGTAACAGTGACAGACCCAGGCCAAGAGAATGGTTTCTGTGAACATGGTGGAAATTCAATCAGCCTTCTAACTGCTTGCCTCCTAACAAGCTCTCACAACCTCACAGGCGCTGGCATGCATGTAGCATGCATGTATTTAGTTTGAACACACTCATTTTTTGCCACTTTTGTTTTCTGATAATGCATGCTAAGTAGTCCAGATTAGCCTGGAACTCTCTCTGTAGCACAGTCTGGCCTTGATTTGCCTGCTACTATATTTTGAACAGTTCCTACAAATATTTGTAACCATCAGCATACTCTGAAGCTCAGTTATCAGCAACAAGCCAGTGGTGCAGTATTGGTGGTGCTGTGGTAACCAGCGCTGCCTTCTCAAAATGAAAACATCAGTTACCTACTGGAGGATGGACCTCATACCTGGTTTAATTACCCTAATATAAAATGGGTGATATAATAGACCCCCCCATCCACAGGCTTATCCTTTCACTTAACTATCATTGATCTTACGAGAACAAGGAGATAACATCCAAAATGTTTCTGTTTTTAGGTAGAAAAGTACAATATAATTTTACTATGGGGTGGTCTTGTTTCATTTTCAAGAGCCAGAACCAAAGCATAACTTGACGAATCACTAACCCACAAATGCTCTCACTGCACATATGCACCCATGTTCTATGGCCCACGCCTGATTTACCTTTATCTCCCTGTGAGGCTGTGAGAGCTTGTTAGGAGGCAAGAAGTTAGAATGCTGATTGAATTAGGCTTATTAAATTAATTAAAGTCAGGCAGTTCCTCTTGGGCCCAATCTATTTATTTGTTAATGGAAAAAACAGTAGGGGCCTGTGTTTGGAATGGGTTGTACTAATGAATGACTTGAGAAATACGTGAAAAGTTATGTTAGCAACCCAACACAAACAAAATTTTATTATTTGGAAAAAAATCTTAAAATCTGTCAAAATTTCTAAGTGTCAATTATAAGTACAGCACTTCATGCTTTCTCATCTATAACCACTTCATTGATCATAAAGATAACATTTTCATAAATGTATCACTGAGAATGATCTAAATCTGAAGAAAAGGTTACTCTTTTCATCTGCTTTTATGATTTTTTTTTTTTTGCTTAGGAGGTTTTCATATTTTAAAAGTGCCACCCAAGAGGCAGAGATGACTCTGTGAGTTTGAGGCCAGCCTTATCTACATAGGAAGGTCTAAGACAACCAGGACATGTAGAGAGACTGTCCTGAAAAAAATATATGAATAAATAAAATAAAGAGTACTGAGTTTATGAAAATAATATTTCTTAGAGATTAGGCCAGAAAGTATCATGAGCACTACATGCATAGGCAATATTTCTGAAAACATAATCTAGAATGTATGCAGATGGACATAACTGGGTTAGCAGAATATCCTGAAAAGACAGGGAATAAAAATGGTGAATTTTATTTCTAAGTAAAATATTTAAGTACTAGAGATTATATAAGGGCTTAAGCTTGCTGAGAAATAAATAACTAGATAAGCTAGGTGACCCTGTCATTTAAATACTCTCTTTGAGGCCAGGACATTTGCCAGGGATGATACACTCACACGGATGACAATTCCAGCACCCACCAGATCATATTTCCACTTTGTCTCTAAAACTAGGGTGGTTTGATTCCCTGATCCTGAATTAATATCCTTGAATGAATATATTAAGTTGACAACTTTTTTGTTTTGTTTTGTTTTGCTTGTTTTTCAAGACAGGCCTACTCTGTGTAATAGCCTTAACTGTCCTGGAACTCGATCTGCAGACCAGGTAGGTCTCGAACTCACAGAGATCCGCCTGCCTCTGCCTCCCGAGTGCTGGGATTAAAGGCATGCGTCACAGCAAATGTTGCCATCAATTATGATCCAAATACTGTTTGGATACGTGCTAGAGACACACCTGTGTTACAGACACACCTGTGATAGAGACAGGTAAGGTTCTTATGCTCATGGAGGGGGGGGTCTTTTGTGTGTCTTTGCTTTGTGCTAACACCTCAACAAACTCAATAATAATTCCTTGAGGGACTTGATTCTTCCTTTTCACCCATCATTGTAGAACCACATGTTTCTTGTTCTTATGTCTCCCATTGTGTGTATCTTGGGGTATCATAGTATGGATATGCATATTTGTATTTGTGCATGCATATATAGGGCCATAAAACAAACGCATACGATAATCTTAAAAAAATAAATAAGGATGGTGTCTTAGGGTTACTATTGCTGTGATGAAACACCATGACCAAAAGCAAGTTGGAGAGGAAAGGGTTTATTTGGCTTTTGCTTCCACATTGCTGTTCAAACAGGGCAGGATCCTGGAGCCAGGAGCTGACGCAGAGGCCATAGAAGGGTGCTGCCTACTTTCTGGCTTGCTCAGCCTGCTTTCTTATGCACAACCCACAATGGGCTGGGCCCTCCCCCATCAATCACTAATTGAGAATGACTGGCCTTGGATAGATGGAAGATCTGCTGCAGATACCAATTAACCTTGACAGGGGGTTATGGCAGCTTAGCAACTCACCTGAGCTATAACTGTCAGTAGATGACTGAGAGATGGAACGAGACAGAGAGCGACGTCCAATTTTGGTAGGACGCTTGTTGAATTCCTGCTTCTGGTCAGCAAACTGGATCTGCTAAGAAAAAGAACCCTCATTAAAGAAAGGAAAAGAACTTCAGCTATACAACTTGGAGATATCATGACCAAGGCAACTCTTACAAGAGAAAGGATTTTTTGGGGGGCTTGCTTTCAGTTTTGGAGGTTTCATCCATTATCGTGGTGGGAGCACGGCAGCATGTAGGCAGACACTAGAGTAGTAGCTAATAGCTACCTCCTGATCCACAGGCAGAGAGGAAGAGAGAACTGGGCCTAGCATGGGATTCTGAAACCTGAAAGCTGACCCACAGTGACAAGGTCACTCCCTGGTGACTAAGCATTCAAATATATGAGCCTTTGGGGGCCATTCTCACTCAAACCACCACATTACAAATGAAGAAAGCCCACCTCTATTTTGAGGAAGCAATTCATTCACCACTTGTATTATTATAAAATGTCACCTTCAATGCAGTTTATTTGCTTAAACAAACCCATATTTAGAATATGAAGACTCTTTGGGGCCTGAGGACGTGGCTCAGTTGTTAGCACGCTTTCCTTGAATGCACCAAGACCTTGATACAGTCTCTAGTACTGCATATGCTGGGAGTGCTAGAGCAGGGTTGGCACACCCCTGCAATTCCAGGAGGCAGGAGAATCAGAAGTTCAAAGTCATGCTCAACTACATGGCAGCTTGAATCAAGACCCTGTCCCCCCCTTCCTCTCAAAAAAGTTGCAAGTATATAGCTTAAGTACAGAGTGCTTTCTCACTATGCAAAGACCTGGAATGGATCCCTAGTACTGGGGAGGGTGGGCAGAGTGGGGGGATGACTTCTTTGGAGCTGAGTGTGGGGGTATACTCCTGTAATCCCAGCATGCAGGAGGCCAAGGCAGAAGGAACACAATGAGTTCAAAGCCAGCCTGGGATGCACAGTGAAAACCCTTGTCTCCAAAAGCAATAAAACAAACAAACAAACAAACAAACAAGAACTTTTTTGAAAGAAGAATAACTTTTCATTCTTCACATCAAATTTAAGTGTTTGATTTAATGACTATATACTGAGTACATTATAACTGTGACACAGAGAGAAGCAGTATTGTGATTAAATTAAATTTTAGGGAAGGTGAACCATATTCAGAAACACTTTCTATTGTTTCACTGAAAATGCAAAGCTGGAAGAAACCTTTAGAATTCTCTGCATGCCCACATATGCAGATGAGAAAACAGCAAGGTACAAAAAGACAGACAGACTTGGCTCGAGCTTTAAGCTTCACAGTGTGGCATGCTAGTTTTTTAAAAAGGTTTTTCATGAATGGCTATACCATTCATAAGCTTCGTGATGTTGGTCAAGATGATTTTGTGAGTTTCATTTTCCCATAAACACAACAGAAGTAAAAGTACTCCATCCCAGGTTTTGGAGAAGGTTACATGAGACAGTGCATGGTCTGTGAAACACAGATTTGATAGCTCATTAACTCCTCCCCTACAGCAGGTAACCATTTTAATTTGCTAAGGATTTTCTAAGATGTTAGCTCTTTGGATACAGTAAATAAACTAATTTTAATGTCTAGCATCATAAAATACTTTAAAAGCCATAAGCTTGATTATTATCAGTGACTACAGATATGGGAGGAGTGGATGATTGGACTGATTACATACTCAAATCATACTCTGTAGGTTATATTTGAAAAATATCTGATGATGGGGGATGTCCTTCTATATATATGTTTCTCTTATTGGTTGATGAATAAAACACTGTTTGGCCAATAAAGGCAGGAAGATAGGTGGGACTAGGAGACAGGAGAATTCTGGGAAAGACAGGGAGAGAGAGACTGCAAGGAGATGGTTATGTAGAGACCGGGAAGATAGGATGACAGGTGTTCTCTGGTAAGATAAGGCCATGTAGAAATGCATAGATTAGTAATTATGGGTTAATAATTAAGACAGAGCTAGCCAGTAAGAAGCCCTAGCCATCGGCCAACAGTTTATAAATTAATATATGTCTCTGTGCGCTTATTTGGGGCTGAAGGGCATGGGGACCTGGAGGGTCAAGAAACTCCAGTAACAGATCTGATAGTGACTTTCTTGTTAATTTTATCTATGGCTCCTACAGTTGACAGTTGCTGCTGATGCTTTACTAATCAAAGCTCCTATCACTCACTTTATTAATAAGTTTTTCCTAACCGAACATTTACACAGTTGCTTAGATGACTCTTCTGGATCCTAAGTGGCATAGGGAAAAGTTTACAGAAAAAAAAAAAAAATCAAAGACCTGACAACTGATTTTAACTTTTATGATAAACTTATATGGGCAGAAATCAGAAGGAAATCAGTGGCTGCACTTCCTGTACTTAGAGGTAACTCTTGAGTTACCTCTTGAGCACTGAGACAAGGGGACTAATGCCAAAATGAAAGCTTAGCACTCACTGCCTCTGAGGAAATGTATAGCACTTCCACAGCTATAACAAAAAAATAAATAAATAAAAATAAAGCCTGCAGAATGGTTCAGAGCTTGCAAATTGCTTTCATTGTAATAGGGCAATTCATTGGGTTAGGAGCTCATTGCAAAATGGAAAGTGACAAGTTTGATTGTTTTGCTGAAGTACCAATTTATTCCAAAAAGGATAAAGTGCCCTTTCCATGCACTCCAGCGGGAGGTCCATGAATCTTTATGTACTTCTAGCACAGCAGTCGTCACGCTGTCTTCCTTTCTGTACTCTGTAAGCCTACGAATTACAGGCTCCATACGGGCTGATTTCCATTCGCCCTTATATTCTCGGGCACATCCTACGCACCAAGTCAAATGCTGACTCAAGGAGTCTGGAGGAGCTTATTCTATCTTCATTGTCTGTACTTGAGGGGATATTAGTAATCATAGTAAGCATTAAGTCTTCAGAAAGTAATTTTAAGGGTTAAAAAAACTGGCAAGGGAAAGGTGGAGATGTGCACAGAAGTCAGGTCCAAATGCTGACATTCAGTTCATCAACCTGGTTCGAGATAATCGCCTTCATTCTTTTTCAGAGGCCCATCAAGGAAGAGGAATGAATGTCTTCCCAAAGACCACAGTAAGGCAGTGTCTTCAGCAGGGCCCCCCTTTAAAAAGAAAGCCTAAAAGATCTCTCACCTCAGATTTGCAACACTGCCTCCCCACGCCAATGCCAACCACGCACACTGACATAACAGCTGCATGTGTGTGCACACAGACACACATGTGTACATATCTACCACTAGAGGAGGCCAGTCGCTTCCTCCGAGTTACCACTACTTAGTCCAGTGACATCAAGTCACCCAGAAACACAGCTGCTTTGTCATTCCAAGTGTGTCATGAGGCTGAGCTCCTTGTCCTACAGTCGTTCAGTTGTGGTAATTCCTTCACCAACTTCGGCTCTTCGGGCTTTAAGAAAATAGGCTGTACATATAAAATGGGTCTTGCTAATTTCTTGGTAAATTCAATGCCCCCCACCAGGTTATTAATATACAAGAACATTAGTGAGAAACCATTTAATGTAGTGAGTTATATGATTTCCCAACAAATAAGTGTTTACTTTTTACTGATAACCAAAACATGAATTAAATGAGGCATCTCTGGTGATTTTATCAGTACCATTCCACCCCATTCTGTAAAGCAACGGCATGCCCGGCCAGTTAAGGTGCCTTGGCAGAGTCTACCAACGTTTACCTAACTTCCCTACCTCGTCAGAAACCAGAGTCCTTGCAGGCACGGCTCCTCTCCCACCTCAGCACCGCCTAACACCAAGGCAGGGGAGGAAAGAAGCTGGTAGGAGTGGGTAGCTCACCGCACGCCAGAGGGAAGGATGACGGCAGACAGGAGGGGAAGGAGAGTACAAGCAGCTTGCCTTGGACAGTAATGGCCGCAGCAGCAGCAAGACTGGCAAACGGGAGCTTAGCCTCACCTGGGCTTTAATCCCAGAGTTGCTATTGACAATGTATTTCTTCTTGCTGCTCAGCATACTGACGCTACCAGCCAGTAGACTGTGACATTACCGGCAGTAGGCCACCTCTTTGGTCCAAGGACCCTTGTGGTCAGGTTTTAAACTTTCCTCATCAGCAATTCTGTTGGCTCTGGTTCCAGCTCGCTACTATTTTTTTTTTTTTTCTCTTTTGAGGGGGGTGGCTATCTCTGAAGCAGCTCCAACAACCCTTTCGGCCGTAGAGCAGGATTTAATAAAGCAGTTCGGTTAGTGGCTCGTCAGCCATTCCTAATTCTGGATGTCCTTCTTTATTATCACGTTTCCTAACATATCATTACACAGCGCCTTTGACCTCTAAACCTTAACAAGTCCCTAGACAAGGCCCAACAAACATGCATACATCAATGGCTTATTTATATAACCCAGGCACTTTTTCCTGCTATAATTAACTTGCTAATTAGGTTCCCTTTTAACTTTACCTCCTCCTTTTCTATGTCAGATGATTTTAGTTAGCCTCATCTCATTAGAAGAAAATTAACTACAGAGTCACTGAAAGAATGAGGGAATTTATAAAGAGAAGAAAAAAACATTGATGGTACTAAGTGTCAGACAGCCCCATTCTATATACACTCTGCCCTTGGGTTAACCAGGCAGGGGACACTAGATCCAGCTCTGTCACCAAGGAAATCAATTTTCTCATTTTATTTATTTATTTATTTATTTGCACTTGATTCTTTCCTTAATACTTATTTGCTTATTTATTTAGACACAGAGTCTCTCAATGCAGTTCATACTGGTCCTGGAACTTGAGGATCTTCCTGCTTCAGAAGGACATCACCATGCCTGAGTTTGCATATTTTCTATACAATTTTTTTTTATATTCAGCACTTAGTTTTATCTCAAGACTGATGCTTATTTAGTATCGAGTGACCCATTCACTTTTTTTCTTATTTTAAAAAAACAAAAGCATATTTTGGGTCTAGGAAGATGGCTCAGTGGGTTAGGGGTCCTTGTTTTGCAAGCATGGGACCTGAGTTGTAATGCTCAGGACCAATGTAAAATGTTGGGCATGGCTGTGTGCACTAGTTACCCTAGCACTTTGGTGT